GGGGGGGAGGGTGAGAGGGGAAGGAAGAAGAAGAAGAAGAAGAAGGAGGAAAATGAAAAGGAAGAGGAGCTATTGCTTCGTGATCGATCTTCTTTAGGCCCAGCCACTGACTGACATGTCCATGGCTCATAGGTCTTCCCCTTCGGTCTCACCATGGTCGTTGTAACAGGGACAGATCTCTGTACGGGGTCATTCATGTTGACGACGGTTGCTGCGCTGCAACGTCGAATTTCGCCTGTGAGGATGTTGCTGCATTGGTTTGTCAGTACGTGGACTTTTCTTCTACTTCCTCTTCTTTGTTCTTGGGGGCAGCATGTGAACATGCATGCTAATTCAGAGCAAAAATAGCCTTCTGGGGAAATCTTGCTGGGAGCTTATTCATCGTCGGTCTCATCACGGGCTACGGCGAGACTTTCAACTTGGTGAGTGTGTGATGAGAGAGCAAATATCGTTCGATGCTTCGCCGGGCAGTTTCTCACATTTCCCCACCCCTAGGCCGTATACAAGTCCGAAGTCCTCAGATTCAACATGACCAAAGTCGTCGTTCCGACCTGGCACGCAATCTTCCTCCGAGGTATCGGTGCCAACTGGCTCGTGTGCATGGCGTGCTTCCTAGCTTTTATGGCGCGGGAGTACTTTAGCAAAGTCATGGCGATCTGGTGGCCCACGTTTGCGTTCGTCGCTCTGGGATTCGATCACGTTGTGGCCAACATGTACTTTGTGCCCACGGCAATTTTCCACGGTGACCCGACGATATCGACGACGTTTTACATTTGGAAGTCCCTGATCCCGGCTCTCATCGGGAATATTGTGGGAGGGGCATTGCTGGTGGGCGTGTTCTTCTGGTATCTCGTATGTATTTTCTCTTTCTGTTTCTTCTTCTTCTCTCTCTTTTTTTGAGATGAGAGGATCGATCGATGACTAATGCTGCATTTGTAGTATCTTGCTGGTGAGGGTCCCGTTGCGGTCGATGGCGTGTACTTCGCACAAGACGTACCTCTGTTGGGCCACAACGCAGACACGCCAGGCAGTAGTGTCAACTCCCCTGAACGCCAAAAGAGCGCGTCGGAGCCCGGAGACAAGATAGTATAACAGATACAAGCATGTCTTTCTCCAGCTCGAGGGTGAATGTTTCAGGCTAAAACATAGACGTGGCCTGACATTGCATGCCAACAATAGAAGAAACCCAAAAAAAAACACTCACAGTTAGCAGATCACTCCACCTTTGCGTGCAGAAAGAGGGAGACTGTCTGCATGCTGCATGGAAGGGGCGCCATGTTTTTTTTTCACATGCACACTTACGATGATACCCATGGAAGGAAGAAGTCTGATCTTTGAAGACCAACACAAGGCTGGAAGAGCCAATAATGCATATGCCAACACAAATATGCAAAAGGCAGAGCTTGAGTCTGTCCTGTCCTGTCCTGTCTTGCCTTGCCCTGTCCACAAGTACCTACAGTACGTTCTCCTTTCTCCCTTGATGATTACACCACTCCTCTTCGGCCACGTCGCGCACGCCGGCAAACAAACAACCAAGCAATGAAAGGCATTGGAATGAATGAAAAGAACGATGATGATGACACCCCGGCCCCAACCCCTCCTCTTCACCTCTGCATCGCAGCATTCGCATTCGCAAGGCTCCGGCACTCCAAAATAAAAAGTCAATAAGAGCTGTAGCCAATCCTTTCCCTGGTCAGCTTGTCAGCACTCTGATGACGAATTTTGTTGTTGTTGTTGGAGATTTGCGGCAGCACAGCGCCCAACAGACAAGATGATGCGATACCAACAACGGAGTTCCAGAAAGAGAGACAGAGACCCTGATGATGATGAGAGATTATTCTTTCTCGGGATGACGAGGAGAAGTCAGTTGGGTATGTCATGTGATTGTGACCTTGTCAAACGGCTCGAGGCGGACATTGATGCAGCAAGGAAGAAACTTTTTTTCTTTCCTTTCTTTCTTTGCATCCGGATCTAAAATCCTTTCGCTTGTTTTCTATTTCCCTGTGTTTTGTTCAAGAGGTACGCCCAACCGAATCCGGACACTGCGATTTTGTGTGGTTTCGTGTCTGAGACGTCCCGACTCCCATTGACTTTTTTATGTTTATTTCTATTTTTATTCTTATTTTTATTTTCTTTGGACTCTCTCTCTCTCTCTCCAGCCTCAATTCGTCCTCTGCTCGTATCTTACAGATAAACAAAAGAATGGAGATAGGCGAGGACCGACGTCTTCCTCGTTGTCTCCCACGAGTTATGTATATAGCATGTACCCGGACATGCATGCATATGCATCGGGATAAGGTAGGTCAGGTACCTACATGTATCGGGATTCCTTCATGAGGAGAAGGCGGCAGCAGACTTTGCTAGGGAAGAAGGTACCTAAGGTAGGTAAGGTAAGCACCCTACACCTTTACCCTTCCTTGGGCTTCCTACCTCCTAGTTGTACCCACCTCACCTCACCTACCTCACCTACCTAGCCTCAGGCGATAGGTACAGTTACAACCTCAGGCTACCCACTTCTCTATAGTACATACCTCACCTGCACGCGCACACACACGCACGCACGGACGGACGGCTTCGTTGTTGTTATTTATTGCTACAGTGCTACTTGTTGTAACTGTTATCCAACAACCACACCAGCGGTTCTAGCCGGGCCGCCCTGGTTTCTGTCGTGTTACCATCCCATACCATAGAAAATCTCAACCAAACCAATTACATACCAAACTAGGAGGTAAAACCAAAGCAGAGCAGAGCAGAGCAGAGAGACTCGGACCGAACCGGACCAGATCAGCAAACAAAAACGAAACAAACGCGGGAACTTGCTGCTTGCACCCTCGAGGTTGGAGGGATTTTTTTATTTTTCTCGTTACCACTGGGTTGGGTACGTTGGAGGGATCATACATATGTTACAGCAACAACAACACAAGTCATGATATGGCATGATATAGCATGATATGGCATGATATGGCATGATATGGCATGATATGGCATGACATGGTCATTACTATCTCTCGTAAGGTACTCAGGTGCTGCGTCGTCGTCTTTTACTGCTGCTGCTCCCCCTGGCCTGCCTCTAGGAAATGTACATGTACGTGTCTAGAGGGGCGTTCTATCTATTCATCATCATCATCATCATCCACCATTCTCCGTAGCCCTCTTCTGCCAAAGTACTAGGTACATAACGTAGGCAGCACCAGCAGAGTAGCGAAACAGTAGCACACGAGAGAGCGAAAAAGAGAAAGAATGAAAATCTGCCTCATCAATGTATCACTGCGTTCTTTTCTTCCCCTCCCTGATGAGGGGGGCGCAAAAAAAAACTGATCGTCACCCTACCTAACCTACAGTACCTACCTACCTTGACCCACATGGAGACCTACGAGGGAGGTACCCGTATCTATCTATCTATACGACTTTGTGCTCGTTTCTTCCCATCTCTCTCTCTCTCTCTCGTTTGTTTCTTTCTCTACACGATGTCATCGAGCGTACATACATACGAACCTACATATATACGCGCAGACGGACGGACGGACGGATAGACGGGAGGGAAGGCTTTTATCAAGGAAGTCTGAATTACCTTTCGAGTCTTCTTCGACATGTGTAGTGTAGTGTAGTGTTTATTAGTGTAGTGTCAATAGTGTAAGTGTAGCTAGTGTACTATCTTAGTGTCAATAGTAGTGTTGTGAGTGAGTCAGTTACTTACCTGACCTGACCTGACCTGACCTGACCTGACCTGACCTAAAGAACGACTCAACACACAAGAAAAAAATGATGATGATGATGGTGATGATGGTGAACGTGTGTGACACACACACATGGACAGAGGTGTGGCAAAGACTCCCCTCCCTTTCCAAAAAAAAAGTAGAGCGGAGCCGGGGGGAGGCAAAACAAAAAGGTCAGGTACGCGTGGCACATTGTACACAGACGGACTTATTAACAAAGGTCTACCTACTTACTCTAAGAGGTACTGTACCTACCTAGTTTCTGGTGACGACGGGTGGCCACGAAAATAGTTATGGATGGATGGCTTGTGTGTGTGTGTGTATGAGACAGCCAAGAGAGACAGAGACAGCTAGAGAGAGAGACAGAGCTAGAGAGAAAAAGGGTCTTTTTTTTCTCTTTCATTGTGACCAACTATCACTACAACTATCTATAGTGTGTGACACCAACCCAAGTGGTTGTCTGGTCATCAAAGAGGCAAAAGAAAAAAAAAAATATGGTGCCTAAGCACGCCCATCATCAGGCGGCGGCTAGCTTCTCATTGGGGAGGGGAAAAAAAGGATGGCTCACATGGACATCGTCACGGGTTTACTGAAACTCTCGTGAAGAAGGGGTGACCCATCCCTCGGATTACCCAACCACACCCCTCTGCGTTCGTTGGTAAATGCTACGCGCAGACTCTCCACATTCTGAAACTTGGGTCTCTTGCGCAGTGCAATCCCATTGAGCGTACAAACCAGCAAGGTCTTTTTGCCATGCTGACACACGCACACGCACACACACACCAACAAATCTCTCAAAACAGTTGAGTAGTGACTGAACCCTCGAAACACGATTCCACATCTTCCAATTGGCTCGCCAGCCATGGGTAGTGCATTTCCATTTCGAGACATTTGAGAGACCCCTCTCGAACGCCTCCGTCCAAGCGCCTCCCGGAAAAAAAAGTTGTTGTTCAGGTACATTCGTCGTTACTGACATTGCCGCTCCAATGCTTTTAGTGGTACATAAATTCGTCAGGACGTATACAACGCCCAAGCTTCCGTTCTGTTGTCGGGAAGCCCCCAGATGAGATGAGAGAAGCAGTAGATGAGAATGGATCGGCCATATGGACCGACAAAAGTAGTAAGGGTGGGTGGTACAGAAGGCCTAGTGGGCGGTGATACGCGGAGGCGGATCCGAAGCTATTGTGGATCTCTCTACCTGGTGCTCGATCTTCTTTTTGCGGCTTTGGCTTGATCAAAGGAGCTGAAATAGTCGTTGAGCTGTGCTTTGGCCTCGGTAGAATAGCTTCCAGATGTGGTGGTGGTGGTGGTGGTGGTGGTGCGAGAGGATGCTGATGAAAGAGATGTTCGTGATGATGACGGCGTCAGTTGCCGCGCATCCATCATCTGTTTGTCTGATTGAGACCATGCCAAGTATGATGATTGTGGTCGAGAGCTGGAGAGAGATGCGGATTGTGTCCAGAAGCGTCCACTTTGTGAAGCAGTCGAAGTTGGTGATGACGGGTTTGATCGTTCGAGATCGGCTAACTTGCAATGTTGAGAGCAATATGGCCCATCGGGTGAGTCCCGGTCACAGTGGAGGCAAAAGTCTTGGAAGCAGTCCATGGCTGGTGGTATGGAGCAGTGTGGTAATGCGAGGGTCCCGAAAAGTGGGGTATACGGGTGTTGTCGTTGTAGTTGTAGTTGTGATTGTAGTAGTTGTTCCCAGTAGATGTCGAGAGTGGTATCTGGAATGCTCTCGAAGAAATACCGTCACGGCAGGAAGGATTTTTTTTCACGGCGTTGGTGAGTGAGTCGAAGGCCGCACGGACAATGCAATGGCGCAATGGCCTCGTGGTATGACTATGACCTTGGTGGTGAAGCCGGCGGGACGATGGGCTTGGCGGGCTTCGTGCTCGTTGTTTCACGAACGGAGCAGGTTTCGGGGAGGGATCGACGGAACGGGAAGCGGTATGGAGCAGTGAGTATGGGTATTGGTATTGGTGGAGGAGGAGGCAGAAGGAGTTGGTCTGTGTGTGTGTGAGAGAAGGTGGTGTTTGTTGCAACAGATATGGACGTCGAGCTGGCACTGGCAGCAAGATCCGTCTCTGAGTGGAGGTGGGAATGGTGCCGTATAAGGACGGCTATGCGAGGCCGAGTGTCAGAGAGGGCTGCGCAGGCCAGGCAAGGCACACCACGTCGCCAGCCAATCAAGAGGCAGTGGAGTCGCTGGAGTCTTGGGAGCCTCGTGCGCCCTTGACGCTAGTTCTAGTCGCAATCGCAACCAGTGACCTGCAGGCGCAGGCGCAGGCGCAAGACGCAGGCGCAGGCATACGCTGTCCGATAAAGTGCTGGTATTTATCGGCCAACTCGAGAGCGCCCCTCTCTCTCTGCCAACGCCCACCCCCGCTGACTGCTGACTACGACCTACTGCCCAGTGCCTACTACCTCCCTCCTGTACCTGTACCTGTACCTACATACCTCCTCCCAACTCCTCATTCTGCTCGGCGCTCGCAAGCTCCAGAGACCCGCTCGATGTCCACACCAATGGGCAATGTTGTGCCCACGCATGGGTCCCCCCCCCAGTCGTATCTGAGACGACACTGGACACTGAATGAACATCCATAATGATCCTCCCAGTCCCAATACTCACTCACACTCACCAGGGTGGGAGCTGCCTAGCCTTCCTTCTGCCTTCCACATCCTCCACACTGTAAATGGTCAGTACAGGACTACCTCCTACAGGTACACACTATCTACTTCTCTTCCACCCCCACCCCGCCCAATACGTACATACCCATAAAGGTACCCAAGCGAACCAAAATGCCCGATTTTCCCTAAGCGCTGGAGCCAAGGCCAACGAATGAGCGCTCATCTGCAACAGCAAAAACTCTGTGTCCTGAACCCAAGCTTGGCCCGGCAGAATGCAGTTGTTACCGAGACAAATTTGTCCTGTCCTGTCCTGTCCTGTCCCTTCTTGTGAGAACGTCTGTGCTGAGTCGGACAATCGTGAGCGTTGCGCTTTGATGGTTATCATCGTTAGATTGCGCGGGCATCATGCGTGACCAACCTAACCACTCAGATGATGCACCTTGCCAACCAGCCCGTCGGTCGCTGCTAGGGAGTAGCAATCATTATGTAGCAGTACCTATTGATTCTGCCTAGCGCCTCTCTGTGTTTACCTTTTGTGCTATCATTCTTCTGCCCCTGCGGCATACATGTATGATTATATGAAGCATGGACGACAGCATTGACGATGATTTTATTCGCTCCAGCCCGAGTGGACGTTGGCCCAGCAGGGTGGTCTGTTACGAAGGCCAATGCGAGCTCCGGATCGTCGCGCGGGGACACACTGCAGACAGAATGCAGACGCTTTCGTATGGAACGGGCCATAATGATGATGATGATGATGATCATGATTCTTGCCGAGCGAGTACGGTCACTGCTACAGAGGAGGTAACGTGTGCGTGCCTTGCTGGCAGTTGATACCATTGAATGTCACTCGTACCCGACACACTCAACGACGCTGGTGTTGCCATCCATCAATGAGACCTCTCAGAGCGTTGAGCACAGATGCATGCCGTGGTGGTTGTATTCGCCACCTCCACTGCCGACTACCTACTCTCCAAGGAAGCAACATCCATGATGATCCCTCATCCTGCTACTCGCTAGCGACTCTGCTCCAGGACTTTTTACTGAGGCCATTCAAGGCAACCTGAGCGAGCGTTCATGCACGAATCTTGGGACCGAGCCGCACCCACTGGCTTGCCTTGAACCGAATGTCGACCCCCACGCCCTTTGTATCGTTTGGCACTACTGCAGCCGTAAATGAATTGATGCTGGGAGTCTGTGAACAGGGTGCGTATCACGATTGTGAAGAGACAGCGATACTACCTGTCCATCTTCGTCCAGAGACCACTCATGGCGCCCCTACAGGTACTATACTTTGAGATGGAGTGCTTTATATTGCGACGCACATTCGGGAAATGCAGCCTGTCGAAGCGCAGCCGAGAAAGCGTGGCACTCATACTAGGTACTCCCAGCGGCTACCAGCTGGCGATCCGTGCAGGTGCGATTGTCCCACGAAGACGCAATATCCTCTACTAGAGTAGTGTTTCTACCACACTGATCATCTACCCCACAAGATCAACCTCCTCAATCATTATTATTGGCGATCTACGCGTGGACGTGATTAGAGCGAACAGGAGGACAGCCAGAGGGCTGTTTGTGGTCGCGCGCCGCCGTTGTGACGATGTGGTTGACAGAAGCACACACGGGTCACGATGGTTGTTTAGCGCGTATAGCGCAGCAGTCGCAATCCTCGGTTTACACTTTGGGACCTCACACACCCACGACCACCACGCTTCATCAGATGTATTCCCAGCACCGCGAGAGTGCGCCCGCCTGTTCCACCTTCGTCGTCACCAACAAGAGCATTCATGCGCAGCGTTGCGTTCCTCGACAAGGAGTGGTTCACTCGTCCACTGCTGGCGCATGCGTTCCATCGCGGAGTGCACGCATAAGTGCGCATGAGAGAGAGCAATATGAGGCAGCCACGTGGGGCGACCACTGCTGACGAACCCAGCGTGGCCTGGGAGGCTGGAGGGCAGTGGCTGGGCCCATTTTCGGCCTCCCAGGGCAAGGTGCAGCGCGGTTCCTTGCTTGCGAGAGGCGCCTGGCAGCCTGGAGTCTTGGGCGAGCAGCCCCCCACTCTCTCTGCTAGTTGCTACTACTGTATTCGGCTGGAGGAGGCCACCCCCATTAGGCTATAGCCTATATGCGATAAAGCTTCAAGATGCACAAGCGGCGGATCTTGCCTATACCGCACAAGTGTCTGACGCTGTCACCCGAAAGGCCGACGACATCCACGATACCCGAATTCCTTGCGGCAATACCATGACCATCCATGTAGGTATGGTCAGGTATGTATGAGATATGGACGTGTATAGACGGACTTTCCGCATCAGCAGTGCTTCGCAGGAGGTGACATGCGCTCCCGACCATATTATCATGCACTCGTCGCCCGTTCCGGCCAATACAGCTGTCATGTATACCATCGAGCGATCCAATGTTGCGGCGTCTTTATGCATATTCTCGTCTGGGCTCTGGAATGCAGTGAAACTGCGGTGCTGTGTAACATTCTACTCACTGTAGACACTGTACCAACTCCGGCTAGGAGAGGATACTAACGGTTATATGATCAAAAGTCTATCTGCTAAATTCAGTGCAACAGTACATGGAAGAATGCACTGCGGGACCAACGACAAGCTGTTATTATGAAGTTGGAAGTTTATCGTACCTTACTGCACTGGATGTTCTTCGGCCTCGGAAGTCGGTACTTGCTTAAACGAAGTTTCTGCTACACCACACCTCTCGCCGTAGTCGCATGGCGATTGGGCACAACGACATCCCTCGTGCGCGTCATCTTTTAGTCTTGCTCGCCTTCGCCATCGAGGCCACAACTTGGAAACAACCAGGTTGAGCCGCCCACACTAATGAAAGTGACGGAAGTGGTGTTGTCGCTCTCGTCATGGTTTGTCCCACGGAACAGAAGACGTGGGAGGAACAGAGGGTGAGATCTGCGACGACGGTCTTGCTTCTCTTGAGCTGCCGTCAGCCGAACCCACGCGATTCCATATTCGACTTCATCGCCTACGCGTCGACTCGGAGAATTGAGCGACGTCGACGAGATATCATTCACTCGGCGACGAGAGATATGAGCGATGGGCTGAGCGATTATGTGAGCGGCCCGGTCTGTTGAGAACGACGCCACTACACCACTAGCCGGCCTGGCAGAAACCCATAATGGGTCCACATATCACGCGAGACACCTCAAGGGCAAGCGTGGAAAAATGCATATCTTGCATCGCAAACCACACCTCCCAGTAGATTCCTACCCTTGTACCGATATGGACTTACTACTCCCTCCAATGAACCCTTTTTTTTCCAAGTCCCGTTCGTAGTCCAGATGGGAGGGAATCTCGCTCTAGGGTCAGAACAGAATCTCTTTTCCACATGGGTAAGGTAGGGTCGAAAGGTAACTTTTTGTATTCGACTCACACAAACCATGACACATTCCATCCGCTACCTACTCCCATTTAACCAATTCATAACTTTGGATGTCTTACTGAGGTGACTTGTATGGCAGATCTGTTGTCGTGATGGCCGAGGAAGGCACGAACAATCATCGAGAGATACGTTGGGAAAACCTTTCACATTTGCTGAAGACATCAGTCATCATTTAGACCCCTCCAGCGTGGTAGAAGCAGAAAATCAGAAGAGCACTTCGTCGACAACAGGCAGAAGAAGAAGAAGAAGAAGAAGAAGAAGAAGAAGAAGAAGAAGAAGAAGGCAGAACCCGTACGCATCCTCTACAGCTCAATACTTACGAAGGTACTCAAACTCGCGATGGAGAAAAGAAGTCGTGCCCCAAATGAACGAACGAACCTACTACTAGGATTGTATTGTATCTTCTACTGAAAAGGACAGGAAACAGGACGACTTCATTTTCTCGCTTTACCTCTTTCCTCTCTCTCTCTCTCCCTCTCAGAAAGGATGATCAGATCTCTACAAGTCTCTCTCTCTCCTCCCCCCCCTCTCCTCGAGACAAAGCCGTCTCATACAACATATTACAACAAAGTTTCTCGCTACGCAAGCGAAGGTATCACTATCACATTCTTGGTACCAGAAAGTCAGCCACATATGTAACAGAAGTGATAAAAGATAAAAAAAAAGTTACACACACACACACACACACACACACACACACACACACACACACACACACACACACAGAGAGAGAGAGAGAGAGAGAGAGAGAAAGTCTATCAAGTGTTCTAGACCTCTTTACAAAAAGAGTCAAGAGTCAAGAGTCAAGAGGAAATAGAAAATAGAAAGGAAAGGGTCTAGACCTAATATTACACATACCCTTATACATACATGTACGTACACCTCCTACTTACGAGCACATAAGGAGGGGAGGGAGGGGAGGGGAGGGGAGGTACCTAAGTATATACCTATGTAAGGTAGGTACTTTACTCATGTACCTTACCTACCTTTATCTTCGACCCTTTAAAGATAAGTACTAGGAGGTATAGGTAAGGTACCTATATGTAGGTAGGTAGGTAAGTTCGGTTCCGAAAGGATTCTGTAGCTTTTTTCCCTTTTTTTCCTTTTTTCTCTATCTCGTCCTTGTGATCAGATAGATAGATAGATAGATAGGTTGGTTGGTTGGTTGGTTGGTCTGGGCTGGTCTGGGCTGGACTGGACTATCTTAGATTCTAGACTCTATAGACTACCTAAGGTACACTACTACTTACTTCTTACAACTTCAAAGTGTGCATGTATACATGCCTAAGGTACCTAATAAAGAAATCTTTGAAAGTGGAAGGGCACTCACTCACTAGGTAAGGTAGAGAACGGGAAATTTCCTTCCTTTTTCGGAGAAAAAGGAAATCAGATATGATTAAGGTATACTACACCAAGGTAAAGTTACAGAGAAGTGAAGTGTTCCAAGTTTTTCACACTCGATCATTTTTCCATTTCAGCATTTGCAATTCGTCCCTTTCGTCCCTTTCATTCGTTTTTCCTGAGCGCCTACGCTTTCCTTGAACCTTGAACGTACGCACTTCCCCTCCCCAAAAAAAAGAACAAAAAAAGAAAAAAAGAAGAAAAAAAAAAAGAAAACAAAAAGGGGGGGTTTCCTTTGTCGTCCAAACAGGTGGTAGTACCAAAAAGAACATTGAGCATGTCGACCATGGCAATGGTAATGTACCTAGTGAGACAGACCCTCCCTCCCTCCCCCCAATGCGGACGGACGGACGCAGCCAAGTTGCCACCGCATTCTGCATATGCATATGCACAAATGGATGGATTGCTCAACCACCAGACCCTTCGACAGGTGAAATTCAACATTGGATGTGCTGACATGACCCTCAGCACCACTCACTGTGAGAAGTGAATGATCAGACGAGAAATTTTCTCTCTCTCTCTCTCTCTCTCTCTCTCTCCAGTCTGATGATGTGATGTCAAAGTGAGAAAAGAAACGACGATTGTCCAGTAATTGAAGTTGCCCAAAGATTCTCCTCACGATGCAGCAGCGACATTCGGAGCGTGAGCAAGAGTCGTCGCAGCAGGATCAGCAGCAGCAGCAGTCAAATCCGGCTTGAGGCCCAATTTCTTCATACGCTGCTTCTCCGCCCAATCGCGACTCAGCTGGCGACTGCGCTCGGAGGCTTCCAGACGGGCTTTCTTCGCAGCTTCTTCCTTTTCGCGCTTTTGCTGCTGGGCACTAGCCTTGGCTTCAGCTGCACGATTGAAGACTTCTTTGCCCTTGCCTGCCTGGAAGGTAGGACGTGTCGAGTCAGCAGCTGGTGGGTTTGGCTTGGGGGCGAGCGAAAGTCGTGGTCGGCTGCTCATGCCCAAGACTGTTGCTGGTCTGGCTTTACTTGTGGAGGTGCCCATCATACTGACAGGTCGCTTGGTGACAGCGAGATCCTTTGCCTTGCCTGGGGCAACTGATAGACGGGCTGTCGAAGGCTTGGATGCTGTCGAGTGTCGGATGGTGGGGCCTGGCTTTGCATTGCCCGTTGCTGGTCTTCCAGTAGTCGCAGGCCTGCTGGTAGCCACGCTCTTGGGACGGCTGTCATTGGCGGATGCGGCCAATGGCTTTCCGGGATTCATAATCGACTCGCGAGCTTTGCTAGTGCTCGTCTGACGCACAGCCGGCGTCTTGTTCATATCAGGTGCAGGTCGAGCCTTGAAAGCTTTCTTCTTCTGCTCCTCAGCCTCCTTCTGCTGACGGGCTTCTCGCGCCGCCTTGAACTTGGCGGCAACAGCTTCTCCAGGAAGCTGAAAGTTGCTCTTGGTCGGTGCCTTGGTAGACTTGGCAGGTGGTGGCGGTGGCTTGAATTGCATGGACATGGGTCTAGGCTTGCTGTGAGGAATGACAACCTCCTTCTTCACAGCAGGAGCCTCATCTACGGCATCTCCGTCCGACTTTGCACTTGATGCTGACATGACCCGCTTAGCACTCGACTGCGACATTGATTGCTTGGGTCGTCCTATTGACGGGACTCTGCTTGGCGCATCCGGAAGACCGTGAGCGAGTGAGATTCTAGCCTGGCTCGCTTTGGTCAATCGAACAGGTGGCACGGACTTTTTCGATTGAGGTTTCTGAGGCGAATCTTGCATGACTGGGACTTCAGCAGAGATCTTCTCGATGGCCTCATCCTGGGCGTCCAAAGCCTCTATTGGATCATTCGGTAGCGTGGAAACCGAATTTCTCGACGATTTGGATGCGCTGAGAACTGCGCTCTTGGGATGGTTGTAGCTCGGCGTGGAAGCAGCAGGGATCAAGGGTGAATTTGAGTTCAACTTCGGAGGCGTCGATGCTTCAATAACCGCCTTCTCAAGCCGATCATACTCCCCATTTTCGTCCATATCGCCGGGTTCCAGCGACGCGACGTTGTGTGTGGGCTTGACCGCGCCGGAGGATTTCGTAGGTGTCTGCTGAAGAACGTTGGGCATTGTCTCCCGGGGGCTGCTGATGAGAGGCTCAGGTGAGACTTTCGTGACCTGGTCCACTGCGGCTGTTTGTACTGGCTCCTGCGTGTGGCCGTTCCCTTTTGTTTCTCGGCCAACAGACGTCCTCTGCGACACGCCTAGGGCTTTGTCTCGAGCATCTTGACCAGCACAGCTCACATCCAATGTTGACCGGTGAATTGTGCCTGCATTCAATCGCACAGCATCAAATGGGGGCGTCGTTGGCCTAATATCACGCCCGGTCGAATGCAATGCCTCCACTGCAACTCCTGCATTAGCGCTATGTGGTCCAAAAGGAGCCGCAAGAGCAGGGGCATGTAATAAATGTGCTTTACACTCACCTTCTGGCACATCCTCGACGGGTTCATCAGAAGCAGCCTGGGTCGCCGATGAGTGCGCCATTTCAACTTCATCTGGCATCACAGCAGATCCATCATCTGGTGCTGCGCTAGTTGTGCTAGCGTCGAGTGTATTGGTATTCTTGCTATCATTGCGCGCGCCTTTCTTGGCTCTCTTCTCGAATATGGTATCCTCCTTCTCCACGTGGGCGGCGTGTCGTTGGCTTGCGCTGTTCGGAGAGATGTCGTGAAGTGGTGTGTGGTCCTGGGGAGCGCTGTGAAGGTCGAGCAGCGCGTCCTCATCGACATGCTGCTGCTGCTGCCGCTCAGCCACCGCCGCGGCCTTTGCCCTCGTGATACGAATGCTCATAGTAACTGCAATGTTACTGCTGTGTGCTGTGTGCTGTGTGCCTAGGTAGTGCCGTAGTTACTACAGCAAATGCAATGCGATACTGTACTGTCTGTACATAAGATATGAGGGTGCATCCCTGGTTGGAATTCGCGTGCAATGTTTATCTGGTCTTCCCCAGTGTTTTCTGAAACAACAACATGCAAGGATCATGCCATAACAACCGCCCCAAATCTGAGACCTCTGAGACTTCCAACGTGGTCCGTGGTCCGTCGCGACTCGGTTCGTATTAATATTATTCCTTCTGCATGTCATGTTAGGAGGCACTCCTGTTCGACGTTACGGGCGAGACATCGCATCTCCAACATGTACACATGTACCGACCGTATCATCTGGATTTAGGGTTCACTTCCCAGTGCCAAATTGCACCGAGCTTCTGCACGATAAGAAACTACTGTATGGGACCAGAATGTTTGTCGAAGACGAGATGAAGTCTTCGCGTAAGACTGCACTCAGCAGCTCATTCAGATTGCTGCAGTATGTCTGTCTGACAATCAAAAGGAGAGGGTATCATAAATGATGCATGCAACCCATTCTACACTCATTCAATCCACGGGAACCAGCAGTACTGGCCCGCTAGCATCTCTGGCCTCATGTTTCCGGCTTCACCACTGCAAGGTGTCCCACTCGCAATCTGTCGCTTCCTACTCATGCACGTCGCTGATGGTGCACATTTCCTCGCTGCCCAATAGCACAGACTCCAACTCACACCCTTTCTCATGATCTGAGAAATCTATCTTCGCTCCGACGACAAAGCAATCAGCAACGCCAATTGCTTCAACCAAGCATCCGCAAAGACCTGCTCTGAGAATCGTAAAGAGCTCTTTCGCGCTCGAAGTCGCATCTCAAAGGCTTCAGTCGAGGAGAGCGAGAGAGCTTTGTAGAAACCCTCTGCGAAGTCTTCGGGTGTAGAGGCGTGGAAACCTGTCAGAAGATCATCGTGTTAGCATCTGCTACCACACTGAGCAGTGGGGCGATGGACGTTCTTACCAGTTGGTTTGCCGTCGATATCAACAACAATGTCCTCTTTTGGACCGCCGCTATCGTTGACCACTGCGATGAGGCCTGCAGCTTGATATTCCACCACCCCAATTCCGAAATGTTCGTTCCACATCCCATTGACACCCACAGAACTGCTCTTCAAGTATTCAACCACTTGCGAGTACTTGGCATTGACGATGAAATCGACACTGTCTTTGATTTCTTGCGCTTGTAAGCGGAGTTTGTAGACTTTCTTCTCATCGTCCGTGTCGTTCCTCACACTGCCGATCAGAATGAGCTTCGGCCGCTGATCAACCGGGGTGTTTGCATGGTGGCTGCGCAGGAAGAGGTGAAAAGCTTTGATGATATCTTCGTGCTTCTTTTCTGATCGAAACTGAGCAATGTAAAGAATATTGTTGGTCCTGCTTGCTTCGCTCGCGTGATCGACAGGGATGCTTTTTTGTAGCTCCTCAACCGCACAAGGCGGGTAAACGACTTGTATCGGATGTCGCATCTTCTGTTGCGTGCGTGCTTTGCCCCATAGCTCTGATATGTGATTCTGTGTCCACGTAGAATTGGTCATTACCACATCCACGTTCCCGCCTACCCAGCGATAGAGTGATGCGAACCATTCCCAGTAGGTCTGCTTTGCACGACCTTTCCAGCCTGAGCCTTGGCCGGAGTTCAGACCCTGGTTGCCGGTGGTGTTGTGCAAGGATCGCAACATATCTGTTGATATTGTGGGGTAGTGAACATACGCGCCTGTGGGGACCTTTGGAAAGAGGAAGCGGCAGAGGGCGAGAATAAAACCATATCCCATGGTGTCCACGAATATGTCAGGCACGAGCAGGTTGAAAGCATCCCATGCTAGAATGAGACTGCCGAGAGACTGTCCGAGTAGGGTGAAGCGGGGCCATCTGCTCGCTAGAACCCAATCTCTCGTCTGTAGATATAGGAAGACGACTCTCGCTGGATTGAGATCGATGTCGAAACGATCGTGGACGTTTGCCAGGATCTGGTCTCTTGTCGCATCATTATCGCCAGTGTAGACTACACAGAGAGCATTGGGGTGACGTTGCTGTGTGGCCAAGATTGCAGCGAACAGCACACGCTCTCCACCACCGCCTGCATTGCAGAAGGGGTGGAAGAAGCCAATCACACCTCGATAGTCGGAGGCTGGGACAGGTGTCTTCTCTCGATCCTCCTCTTCGGTCACTTTGTCCCACTCGCTGGACAGAGAACTACTGGACGAAGCGGTACCCTTGTGTCCTCCCGCCTTGTATGTCGTCAGCTCGCCATCCTCCTTGTCAGCTTTTTCAATCAAAATGTCCCTTCTGTGCTGCGTCTTGCTTGCGATGATGGAGCCTATGAGCTTTCCGACCTGATACAGCCCGAGAGACAAGAAACTGCCCAACGCGACGACACCCAGCAGGACGCCGAGCAGAGTGACGGCAGCCATGTGTGGTAGATGGTGGATGATGCAGTGTCTGAGCTTCGCGGGCTGGGGCTGTCGCCAGAACCGCGTCTAGAGAAGCCGGCAGGCAGCGGTGAGTTCGTCGCCGAGGGTGTGGGAATGAGCTGCTTTGCGGAGGGTGGAAGGAGAGGCCATGCTGTCTCCCGTTAGGTTGCCATCGAAGAACTGTTCACAGTCTGACACGAAGGGAACCAGAATGAGATGGATGAGGCAACCTGACCTCACGGGAGTGATCCATCACATGCGAACGATCAGCCGGGGCCATGCAGGGTTGAAAGCTTGTCTCTTCACACTCGTCACGTCAGGTACATGTACCTACCTACCTCTACCTCTCATTCGTGGTGACACGTGAAATAGGTACATTACCTCCTCCTCCTCCTCCTCCTCCTCCTACCAGCTCGACGCTGCTGCTGCTGCTGCTGCTGCTGCTGGACACGCACCATGGCCTCTCCGCTACGCTTCAGCGTGGCGAGAGCGCAAATCATACCACTGCCGTCCACCGTACGAAGCGCCCTCTCCGCCCGCTCTCTGCCCCGACGAAACTTCTCATCCACCGCCCACCGCCCGTCCGCCCTCCTCGACATCGCCGTCGCAGGCCCGACTGCCATCCTCGACGCCATTCATGGACTGGGCATCCCCTGGTACGCTGCCATCCCGTGCGCTGCTGTCCTGATGCGATGCACCGTTGGCTACTACTTGAGCGCACTTCCCGCACGGAAGAGAGCCATAGTCCGCACGCATCTCGCCCCTCTGGTCGCGAATACCGTCAGGTATCAAATGGGACGCAAAATTTTCGCGCTGCAAAAGCGGCTTGACGCTGATGGGGGAAATCGGCCAGTGACGAGCAAAAACTCCTTGCGCATGCGGCACATGGTAAATGAAATGGTGTGCCAGATAACGGAGAGCTATAGGTTCGGAAAACGCTACGGAGCTCCCATCTTCACTGCAAGTTCTTTCCTCAATTTTGGCATGTTGATCATGTTCGCGGAAGCCATACGCGTGAAGTGCGGTCACAGAGAAGGCTTGCTGAGCATGATCACGTCAAGATTCGAGGGAGCATTCCAAAGCCTGTTGATGAAGCCTGCTTCGACCAACACCCCGCCAGCCCTCAGTTACGAAGAAGTCATCGCCGAACGCATGGAAGCTGCCCAAGCAGCCGCAGACGCCCAAGCAGAACTGTACGCTTCTGGCGCCGGTGACGTCCTGGTCGACCCCAAACTGCTCGATCCAGCCTACCATTTTGAAGCATTGGGACAGACTGCAAAGACATATGCGGACAACCTTGACCCGACCATGCTTATTGAAGGGCTCTCCTGGGCGCAGAATCTAGCTCTGCCAGATCCGCAATACATCCTGCCTTTCCTCCTCAGCTGCGCAATGCTCCCTGATATGTCGCGTGTTTTCAAAGCATATCTGAAGGCATTGCCGCCGAGACATGGAACATTTGGAAAAAGGCTCCCTTCGACCAAAAGTTCGACAGTTTCCGCATCTACCTTAACGCCTCAATCCAAAGAAATGGACCGCGCCTTGCGCCTCTTAGAAAAGCTCCGTCAAGAGACCTCAGCCAACAATTCCAGAGCTCGCGGAGCTATTTTGAGTACTTGGACTATAGATCAAAAGTTCAGACTTTGGATGGCTGGGCTCTTCTTCTTTGTAGGATGTGGTCTTCCATCTGGAATGTTGTTATACATGATTCCGAGTGTCGTAGTGGGCCGACTACATACAAGATGGTTGGACATGAAGCACCCTATTCCAATGATCATACAACCTTGTAGAAGGCCGATGAGGGTGAAGGTTAAGAAGTCGTACTGGAATTCATGATGCTCGGTATATTTGAAGAGTGATGGGCGACTTTTGCTCATAGGTGCTCAGCAAGCTCAGCAAGCTCAGCAAGGCTGAGTCGTGGTTGTCTGTACCCTATCCTGTATTGAATACAGCGAAACATGAGAGACGACGAGCACAAATATAAGGTGGGTGGCGGAATGGATGGTGGTTTCTCATCCACGGCCAACCAATTCATCAACTTTCGAGCAGTTTGAAGGAGATGGTCGACTACAAGCACAGTCCAATGACACTGCAGCCGTGAAGATATGCGGCCTGTGCGATAACGTCAGCCATCAAAAACAACATGCCAGCACCAGAACCTGCTTCGAGGAGCTCAGACGAGCACGTATTGCATAAGATGGACAAACGAAACCACCAACCAGCACATTGAAGAGCGCAGCCGTCTCAGGATCTCCAGACGCGAACGTGGAAGATGAAGGCGATGGTGACAAGAGAAATGTTCAGTAGCATCTCACAAATGAGCGGAACTCGTCAAAAGAAATTACTAGCAGGCAGGATGCTTATCCCTTTCAAGTATCTTACTGTTCGAGTCGCCGCATTTACAGATATTGCCACCGGTCGATCGATTGAGTAGGCCTACGGACGTTCGATTTGCATACCGAAAGAATGGGGAAATACATAATGAAGCATGAGATCGATCGCGCCTTAACGATTGTGTTGTCGACTGTGTGGATCGTAAGCAAATATTGCTCGACGAAAATCAAATATGGCGGACACATTTCGAAGACTGGAAAGGCAACGAGGCCGGTACCGTTAAGCACCCGCGTTGGCTCGCCAGAGCGTTCATACTGTATCTCGGTCGCATGGTCCTGGCAGCTAGAAATTGCGCCACCGCGAACGATATACCACGACGCAGGGGAGACGAGTTCGCAATGGGATGAGGCATCTGAGCAATGTTCTGGGTCAGCAATATGTGCGCCCATCTTCTGTGTTCAAACCTCGGACGGGCGGAGCTAGTGTTGTTGACTGGGCACTTACCGCAGGAACTCACACAAAGCGTAGCCCCTTGGCTCACCGCAGCCAACGAAGCCGGATTCCACACTGGAAATCAAGTCCGTTCTGCACGCGAAGTGCGCTGAAATTTCAATACCTGTCTTTCATTCTCATTGCCAATCATCGAGCAAGCTTCCATTGACAGTCTCAGCATATTTACATTTCTTCGCACTCTCTTTCCTTATTGCTCCTCCTCAGCGCACTCGCTCCTCAGTACGCCAAAGGAGCGTAATAGCAGACCACAGCGTAGGTAGTCGCTACACCAAAGACGACGGCGATGAGTACCACGTCGCAAAACTATCACAGCCGTCAGTAGACCGAACTCTCAGGCCCGGTCAACTTCGCTGAGGCCAGAGTGGCTCAGACACCGCGCTCGACCTCTCTAGGAAGGTCTAATGAGTTCCAGGGCTCTTCTTCATGTACTATCGCAAGACAAGCAACCTCTCAACTGATTAGGGATTCAGAACTGCTTAGATATTGGATCCTGTAGACTGGGCATGGAAAAATATAAGAGGAAGCATCATCACGATGCCACTGTGCGCAGCGGATCTCCACTAGGTACATGTAGGTAGGTAAAGCAGGCCATACAGGTAGGCAGATATGTAGACAAGGTACCTTCTTATATATAGCCTTATTGTCCTTCTTCCCATCTATCGACCATGAAGGCAGGACCCCTACCTACCAGGTAGTAAGGTATTCTAGGAGATACATGTAGGTAATCAGAGCAGCAATAATGCAGGCAACCACACTTTTTCCTTTTACGGATTCGATTTGTTTTTCGCTATTACTACTATTACTAGCTACCTAGCTACCTAGCTACCTAGCTACCTAGCTACCTAGCTACCTAGCTGAGGGTTTCAACGGCAACAGGAGCAGAAGCAATATCAAGTATCTCGGGACACGAAGTTGAGTGTTTCCTCGAACAAAGTCCTACTCTACTCGGACTACCTTACCTATCCTACCTAGTTTATGTACATGTATGTATATGTATGTATATACCGTATCTGTTGTCAATTCGATTGATATCGGCGCTACTCGAAGGGAGGGACGGAGGGAGGGAGAATGGTCTGCTTCTGCTTCTGCTTCTGCTTCTGCTTCTGCTTCTGCTTCTGCTTCTGCTTCTCGTTGGGTTTGTGTTTTGCTGCCCGGAAATTTGAATCTGATCTGATCTTATGAGGTAAGGTAGGTTAAGGGAAGGGAAGGTAGGAGGTAGAGGTAGAGGTAGGAGAGAGAAGTATAATTGATATGAAACTGCCCAAGTCTCGATACTTGCCAGAGTAGTATAATGCCAGTCTTTGTCTGTCTGTCTTTATGTTTGTAGAAACTTCCTGTCTTGGGATGGATGGTTGCCGATGTTGTGTGCAGATAACAGGTAGGTAGGTGTAGGTACCTTACCTTACTTCTCGCAGCTGCTCGTAGTCGTTCGTAATCTTAGTCGTTATACTCGAGTACTCCTGATTTTTCAATTTTATTTCGAATCGGAGATTTCTCTTTGAGGCAGTCTACCTAACTCATACAGTGTGTATCAGCCCTGAAAGCATCTCTGTACCTACATTTGCCGACCGGTAACACATATGAGTAAGGTCAAGATCAAAGATCTGGAGATGGCTACAGGATCGGCCTGAGTCGCGATTCGTGAAGCTCACCTCCGGTAATATATGTATCTTATCTGTGATCGATCCGACACTCAAAGATCAGATTGCCGCACTTTTCAGATGTATGGGAATTCGCGATAGGTGTTCAAATTTTACGCTTGTTGCCCGGAAAGGATTATTTATTATTATAATAGAATCGAATAGTACCGCGCATTGTGAGGAAGCTTTTGTCATGCCTCGTAACTCAGGTAAAAGGTAGGACAGGTACATGTATCATCCTTCGTCTGGAGGTTATTCGCGGCCAGACTCGGTCGGCTATTGAAGACGCTCTACCTCCGTCACATGGGAGGTCCCACCCTTCAGATGCGTGGCGGAAAGCATTCATTTACATACATCCGGGCAATACATTCGAGAGAAAGTGCAAGTTCTTAGCTCTCTCTGCCCTGCCAAGATTTCACTGATTCGGTGACTGGTAGCAGTGAGACACAATAGGAGTTGGGAGGGATCGAGAGGAGAAAAAAAAAAGCAAGCCAAAGGTAATGTATCCCATATTAAGGTACATGTATCCAAATGAAAAAGTTCGGTCGGGCTGAGATTGGGCAAATCGCGGGCATGTTCCGGCGTGGTGGGACTTGTTTTTATTTTAAAAGTCAATTGGGAAAGTCAAGACACTTACATGTACCTTACATAGGCCTTCCGTCGTCATGCTTTTGACTCTTTTGAGAATATCGCCTGAAGCCAAGAAAATATATGTGTAGTTCGAGATTTCGGGTTGGCACTAGAGAGCAGCTGTCTATGGATGGATGGGTGAAGAGAGCAGGATCTCTCGATTATCTCAGCCAGGTAGGTACATTAAAACCTGTACAAGCCGATGCCGAATCATTCCCGAAGACGGTATCACCAATCCACCATCGACGGAGACGGGTACATACTGTTGTGGCTTGTGGGACCCTAAACGAGTAACTCTCGTGAGTAACCTTTTTTTTCTTCTGCGGATGTCTGGTCTGCAGGTGGTTGTACATTGAGTTCTGGCAGCGTTAGGGTCTCCCTGGCCTCGTGGTCCTGTCTGGATTTGCTGGGCATGTTTCGGTTGTCACGGCATTTGCTTGTATCGGAGTCCTGAGAAGGTACATGTAGGTACCTGTAGGTATAGGTATAGGTAGGTAAGGTAGGTACATGTTATTAGATCGTGCGCTTCTCGTTGCCAACGCGCAGAGCTGGGGCACGCATGTATGTATTAGCGGGACGTGGTCAGGTGGACGTTGTCTGTTGCAACTTCATCCTATTACTAGAAGGTACCCGACATTACTATGGACATGTACATGCAGAGGTGGTGTTTGCCCGCGTCATTTCCGCGTGGTCCCAGCGTGGGTAATGTACTTAGACTACTACAGCCTCACTCCGTCTGCATCGGCCTCTCCGCAGATCGGCTTCGTGGCCACCACCACGAACAGCAAGACTCGCAAGAGAACGGCGGCGCTGCACTGCACCGCACCGCACAGCACAACAGCATCCGAACAGTGCAGTGAGCACGAATGATGAAAAGGGAGTGGCTCGATTCATGAATAGCTGCAGTTCATCACTGCAGCGCGCGGTGGTGCGGTACGGTGGTAGGCGGTGCATGATTGATGATGCTGATGATGCTGATGATGCTGCTGCTGATGATGGTTGCGGTTTGAAACCACGCCTCATCAAAGCAGCTGGCCTTCCCGCTTGGCACACGACATGGTGCACGACCAGCGGCCAGGACGTGTGCAGCAGGTGATGAGATCAATTTGTCGTGCTCACTGGTCATGCGGGCGGCGGGCGTGTGCCGGTGACGACCGAGCAGCTTGCCGGCGCTCGTAAACCAATGTCTTGCTTGACACCAAGGCAGAGGAAGGGCAAGCATGAACCATGGAAGTGCGGACAGCGCGAAAAGTTGGATGGAACACCGCCAGGCCAGACCACACCACACCAGTACAGTTACAGTACATGCAGTGCGGTTCCTCCCGAGGCTCCTGTCGTCGACCACTCTACTACCTCCTAGAGTACCTGGCCTGGCCGCCTCTGGACGTAGGAGGTACCTGAAGCTGAAGTGAGGCTCTGGAGTCGGTAGGTAGGAGGTACGGTGTACGGTACTGTAGGAGGTAGTCTGGTCTGGTCAGTGAGGTGCATGTGGTCGCCGTCAAATCATCCATATGCCGAGTTGTTATTAGTGGGCCCACATGCGCCGCTGAATCCATCTCTACACGTTGGCTGTCGCATATCCCATTCCATTCCCACCTGCACCACGCATCGCGATTCTCGACTGCTGAATCGCCGGATGCACTGCACACTGCGCTGCACTGCACACTGCGCACTGCACTGAGCTGCTGCATGTTTCTCGTTCCGCACTTCTCACACGATCGGGAGTCGTATCTGTCTCTCGCTCTACCATGCGCGCGCCCGCCATCTCCCTTCCCTGAGGCGAGGCACTCACTGCGTCTCTACCTTGCCGCTGATTACACCATCACAGTAGGAGGGTGCTTGGTAGTCCATGCAGTGTGCGCGAGTCGCTGAGCGAGCACGCGGTACTGTGCACCCCCCACTGCCCCCAGTTCCATATGGTCAGTACTTAGCAGTGCCTTAGCGAAATTCCGCGTTAGATTTGACTAGAACGACAACGACCTCATCCCGACCAGGGACGCCGCACCTCTTGCACTGCACTATGCATGGAAGAGCGGGATTGTCTCTGTGCTGACGACGTTCTGCCTTGCTTGCAGCGGCGCCTGCCTTTTTTTTTATTTCTGCCTCTGGCCTGCAGGTGGATGAGACAGCCTCACAACAACAACCAACCTTTCGTCCCTTCCCTTCCCTTCCCTTCCCTTCCCTCCCCTTCCCATTTGCCTTTTCCTTCCTTCCTTCCCCTTCAAGTCCCTTCCCTTCCCTCCTTCCCTTCCTTCCTTCCCTTTGCTCCCCCCGCTGCACTGCACCACGGTGAGCCGGCCGACCCGTGTGGCTGTTCTGCGGACGTTTGTTTCTGTCACCATCGATCTGACCGGATAGTGCACGACCTACTGTACCTACCTACCTTACCTTACTCACCTCTCTCCCTCCCTGTTCCCTTCCTCCCTCCGTCTCTCACCATCTGCTGCGATCGGTGCTTCATTTTCCCTTTGCTCCTCCCGTGGCTCGGCATTCGCTCCTTACTACTACTACCTACTACCACTACCACCACCACTACCACTACCACTTACCATTGCCACTACTACTGCCACTACCACCACCACCACCAGTACCCACTATTACCTATTACCTACCACTACGACCTGCGACCTGCGATCTTGCTGTGCTACCATTACCGTTACCATTCCCATTCCCGTTGCCGTTTCTACTTTCCCTTTGTCGACGGCCGCTCCGTCCACGTCGTACCTCGCCTCCCTCCCGCTCTCTTTGCACGCCCGCTGCTTTGAGAAGACAAGGAACCATACCTCACTCCTCTCCAACCACTCCCGTCTCCCCACGTCCGGCACGACACGCAACCAACCAAAAGACACCTCTACCGTGTCCTGCTCGATACCACAGGTGAGCCATTTGTACCCTTCTCCCTACCGCCCACGCCCAGCACACTGCCTGCTTCGCTGCTTCGGGTGGGACAGCAGCTGTCGTGATGCAATCCTCCGTGATCCGACTGCTTTGTACGGGGAACTTTGCCGTATGCACAGCGCTGACATGGGGATTGCAGCCTTCCTACCATCGAGTGGAGCGTGGAGCCTCCTCGTCCGTGGCGGAACCAGTGACTTCTTCACTGTCTCAGTCACCAACTTGAAGCATACTTACCCTGATGCTGCACTCACTTGTACGACAAGTCTAATCGAGTGCCGGAATCGAGAGGAGGGCGAAGACTAGGGCAGCTAGTTGGACCAAAGCCTCGCAACCAGCAGCATGAAGGAGACTCAGAACCACGAGTACAGAGAGCCTGAGGGTGTCTCGTTCTCCAGTCCTGCACATGCTCGAAGACAATCGACATACGCCGGGGAGAAGAGTGTGGCATCGGCACAGAACAAGTCGCAGAAACAGCAGGTGACAGAGGCGCAAGACGGGTTGCAGGCGCCTGAGACAAATGGCAATGGTATGGCATACTCGCCCGCCCAAGCTCCAACTCCCCTTCCCGCCGATATCGAAGCGATTACGCCCTCTCCCATGACGCTCTCCACCACCGATCAAAGTGAAGAGGATATTGCCTCGGACATTCGTGCCTTCCTTAACGAGGAGATGGATGATGGTCTCCAGCATGCATCATGGTGCTGGGAGCACGCCGATGTCCGACCTCCCATCACGCCTGAAAGTCTTGCAGAGCTCGATATGCCCCGGATCATCAACAACCCCAAACTCCGTCACGACGTCAACTTCGACCGCGAGCTTCACTTCAGACCCAATCTCGATGGCTCCAAGGGCCGGCAGAAGCTGCTGCAAGCAGACCAATACTGGAGAGCATTGGAGGCGGAGCTCGTGATGTGCAGGATGGTGCACATTAGGAAGGCACAATCACCAGACAACGAGGTCTACTGGCGACGCATAATGAAAGGCTCCCTTCAGCGGCTGCCCAACATATTCACTGCAGTCCGCGATATACTCAAAACACTCGTGCCGGACTATGATCAAAAGGCCGTCTCGGAACGACTGGATGTCGACCACATCATGCAGCAAATCGAAAATGGGGTGTGTGATCTGATTGACCTAGGCAACTGGCTGGCCAAAGTCCTGAAGAACCATTGCGCTCCCATGCGTGATGCGCTTGTGGACATGATGCAGAAGGATATCAAACAAGGGGCAATGGAGGGCAAGCACGAGAAACTCGTGAGTGGTCTGCGGCAGCTGATGAATATCCTCGAGGCCATGAAACTGGACGTCGCAAACCATCAGATTCGACACATGCGGCCGTTGCTCATCGACGACACCATCAACTTTCAGAGGAGATACAATGCTCACCGAATCTCGATTGGCAAGATCAGTGCATCCGACGCCAGACTGTGGTTGCGATCCAGCCTGCACCAGCAAAGTTCTCACCTTGATGCCCTGGTGGCAGGATTGATCCGCGACATGCTCCACAATGACACAGCGAACATGTGTCCGCAGACATTCTATCTGGACGGCGACCGCATACGGGCTCTGCGTGTTGAGCTGCACAGCCGCGTCTACCACGCCATCTGTGATGATGTATTGCGCGAGCTCGCGTGCCCTCGTGGAACGTCCGAAGCTGACCTGGCACGAGCGAGGGAGATGCTGCACGTTTCAGTCTCTGCCATTGTGGGCGTACAGGGCCGGTTCACTGACCGTCTGGACAACATCGCCGTCGAGATCGTTCGTGTGCTATTGGTGAATGAAGGACAATACCCGCCTTATGATATCGACCTCCTCAATTATGCCGAGGCACGGCTTTCCGACTGCCTCCGATCGGGCTCCGAGTCCTTTTCACGTCATTCGCACGAGCTGATCCGTAACCTGGTGCCGAAGGTGCAGTCTCGAGTGCGCGGCCATTCCTCCATGACTGCATTAGACCTCCAAGACGTCCTGGTACCAGCTCCCATCACCCCGAACCGGAATTCAATGGGATTCGGCGCCATGTGCGAGCCGGTGCCGCTTGCGTCCAACGTTCCGATCGATGCTGATGAGGATATCATTCGCCGCTTCACCCACATTCTCGCCCTGCACTGGCAGGTCTGGAGCGAGTTGGTATACCAGACGGATGAGCCGTCGTCTCCCGTCCCTGAAAAAGAGGACGACAGTAGTTCCGAGCACGGCAGTGATAGCACAATGGTGCAGTCAGCCGCGTCTTCCCCGACCATACCTGTGGCACATGCCGTATATGCTCCTGGTAAGAAGTGGCTGCCCGTTAGTGTCACAGTTACAGATGTCCCGAGTGGCTTGCCCACCACACAGACGGCCGGGCCAGACGCAACAGGAGGCCAGAGTCCGACGCACGGTGACACTGATGCGCAGCAAAGTGACGACGCGCCGGACGCATCACAACAGCAAAGGCAACCCGCCTGAGCGAGCAAACAGCACCGAACATTTACTCGTCCTATGCTGCACACCTCGCACAATGCAGCCGTAAGATTTACCAAAGCATGCTGCCACACGGCCCATTGCCTAATTCCACACGTTGGACCGACGTGTATTTCCTTTAGTCCATTTGTATATACCTTGAGCGTTTTCTGATTTCGTGGGAGCGAAGACTGATTATTTTGGTCACTGGTACTGGAGATTACTGCATAGATTGCAATAGCATTGGAGGTTAGCGAAGGCGTCTGGAGTTTTGACCACATATGCAGCTACCCTGCGGATAATTGGAATGCATTCGCTTGGATTTTGGATCTTGTCGGTATATGGGTACGGGCTTTTAATCATGGCTCAGGTGGCTTCTTCTACCACTTTTGGGATACCCGGATATGCATGCAGAAGGCTGCACATTCTTAACACTTGCATTTTAGCAAGGAAGATATGTAGTGAAATGGAATATTTGCCAGGTTTTGGAAAATTGATACTCGTCTTTTTTTCGGTTTTGCTCCCGCTTTTTCTAGCTTTTCCACTTGTCTCTGGGAATGCCTGGCTCTCTTGTGACGGCGATGCTCTATGTGTGACTTGTGAGATATAGTTTCATCATACTGAAGCCATTCTTGCCCATACTCGGAGTATCCACATCAGCATAGCAGCCTTCCAGGCAACAAAACCTTCCAAGTTGCATGACTTGGGACCTGTTGTTATAGACGGGATTGCTCGTCTACCTTAGGTGGTAGTAGTAGTAGTAGTACCTTGGTAAAGATCAGGATATGGGGTGTCTACCTACCTACCTACCGTATCTACCTTACCTTACTTCCCCTCCCCTGCTCTCTTTGATCGGTATATTGGCTTACGGAAGTTTAGATAGATACATGACTGTATTTATTGATAGGTATAGCTAATGTAAGGTACGGTAGGTAGGTATTCTAGGTACAGGCACGAAGGTATGTATGTACAAATTCTTTTTTTGAACTAGATGATTGTCTGAAAATTCAGAGGACGATTTTTATTTTCCTTGTTTGATAGGAGGAGGAGATGTTCATCATTCTCTATTCTCCAAATTCGATTCGAGTGCTACCTCCTAGTAGTCAGTATGAGGAGGGAAGTCTCGAAGTGTTTAGGTTTTTGGTATATAGTCAATGATGAGAGGCTATCACTAACTATAGGTGCATGTAACTACTACAAATAGCTAGGACGAAAGTACTAAAGAGTACTGAGTATTGGTAGGTATATTCATTTAGAGAGAGGGCCCAAAGGTACCTAAGGTAAGAGATTCATGCGCTTTCCTTTTTCTCTCTTTCTCTCGCTCGTAAGATAATCTCCGCATGTAGGCTTGATGAATCAGTTGATACGAGGTTAGGTAGTAGCATACGGTACGGTACGGTACGGTACATAATTGGCTTCGCGAGATGGATTCTGTTACCTCCTACTTCATCAGACAACTTTACATATGACGCCTGGCAAGGCGTGGCTGAAGATTTACTCGGCGCTCTTTTTTGGGGGCAGGTCAAGATCTACTAAGGCGATCGAACGGGCGGATTGGGGATCTAGCATGATGCTACATGTAGCTGCCTGGAGGAAAGGAGGACATAATGCTTCGTGACCTGGTAGGTTCCATCGTTTGGAGGCATGCATGCCTAACGTATGTCCGAGCCACGACGACGACGACGACGACGACCAGCAATCTGGCCGAGCATTTAGAAAGCTTTGGGAAGAAAACACTGCTTTTGCTCTGCAGTGTGGCATGCATATGCTGTTGTTCTTGGGCCAAGCAAAGTGTTGCGTGGTATTGTTGAGGCGCAGCCATTGCTTCCGAGTAAAGAGGGACCAAGAAGTTCGCCGAGTGAAGTATAACGTATATCGTTGTTTCATTGTGGGACGTGGAGCTGCAGCTGCCGCCGACGTCGCAAGCCCTGTCAAGTCTGTACCGGGCGAGAAAAGGGTCAGTACTTCGCAAGCTACAGTCGTCTACTCCATCATCGTACGCAAGAGACGCGATTGGAAACATGGTTGAGAAAAGTCATGACCCCTACTAGGAGCCATTTCGTTCGGTGCTAACCTATGCTGCACCGCTGAACGTCCAGCAACGGATCAGTGCTGTACTCGTTCTAAATATGTCAGGGAAGCAGAATCCGGTAAGCCGGCTGCTTTTCCAATGTGCCGATTTTTCGATGGGAGAAACCGTTGCTCTACTGTTGCTCACGTGGACCACCTCTCTGCCTGTTGTCTTTTTGCTGTGGCTTGCTATCATCCTTCGGCTTGCCCTCACCCATGGTCAGAGCGGCAGTGGAGAGACGGTGTGAGAGATCCATTTGTGTGCGGATGGTGTTGGCGAGGTAAGAAACGAGGAGGACGTCTTGAATGTGGTTGTTGCTGCGAATGGGTTAGCTGGAATCTGCTGTCTTCACCAGAAGTATACACTGCACGTACAAATCTTTTTCAATATCTTCAGCATCCACCTTCGGCGCAAGAGACAGCGCGTTCATGAGGAATTGGCCAAGCGCTGAAGATGGCTTTGCCTCCTCGTCTAGCACATCCGAAACATATGTCGATACACGCTCCAACATATCCAGTACCTGCTCGATCGCGCGCTCCAAAGAGTCGATGTCGCTTTGCACGACTTGTGACCGGTCTTCCCGGTCCCTTGCGCCTGCAATCAATTCCAGGCCGCTCCTGTCCGCATCTCCGTACTTGATCTCGTGTGGTACTGGAATGAACAAGCACGAGTCTGCTGCGCGCTCAGCTGTCACGCCAATGGGTGCGCTAATGTATGTGTCTGCTCGTGGGTCCTGTCCTGCGACGGTATTGACAGTAAGGTGAACGGCCGGGTGCGGCCATGTACCCTCGCCTTGCTGCGAGTAGAAGTTCTGAATGAGAGCGGAAAAGGTGTTGAGATCGCTGCTGGTGGCATACCAGCCAATGAGCACTTCTTTGGGGCTGGCCTTCAGGTGCAGCTCGAGCATGCGCTTTTGGTAGTCCATGTCCACCTCGACCTGCTCCGCTGTTTCCGTGTGTGGGACCGCATAACAATTTCTGATCTCGACTTCCGAGCCATCTTCGCTGCGAACTCCTAATAACGTGCCAATTACGCGTTCCTGCTCTGCTGGTCGCCTTGATGCGTGGTCGAGGATGGAGAAAATCGCCTGGGGCTGCACAGTGACTGTCACTGGCGCAGTGGAGGGCGCGGCGGTGGTGCCGACGGGCGCGAGCGGACGCGCGAGGTGCAGGAAATTCGCCATGATTGCGGCGAGATATTCGCTGGTCCTGCGGTCTCGACAAGTGGACGAGGTGGTGGTGATGGTGGTGGAATTGTTGGCTGGCACGCGGGTCGAAGTTCCAGTTGTTGTCGGGGCGAACTTTGAAATGGTGGGCGTGCCAAGTCTGGCTTCTTGACCTTATCGATAGGACCAACTTACTTTCTTTCTTTGCGATGATCTTCGCGATGATGTTCCCAATTTCTGAAAGCATTTGCTGGTATACATTGAGGTGTACTGACTCTGCCTTGTGAGGTAGGGAGAATTCATCGGGCAGCAAGGAGCGACCATGGCTCCGTTTCGAGGCCGAGGAGGAAGTCGTGGCGGAGGAGGAGGTCGCGGCGGCGGTAGAGGCCGGGGCGGAGGTGGACGTGGACGTGGATTTGCTGGTGGGCGAGGCGGAAGTCGAGGTGGTGGCAGAGGTGCGGCTCAGAGCAGTGGCAAGACGGCAAGGAGTGGCATCAAGACTGCGAATGGCTATCGCAAGTTTGACAGCCAGCGTGTCAGGGACGTGGACTCGGAAGACGAGCAGCCCCAAGCGGATGAAGAAGAGGCGGAGGCAGAGTCTGAAATCGATGATTTGGACGATGAGGACGAGATCGAGATCAAGCCCACTGTCAAAGCTTATCATGCCTTGCTGCAGTCCTTACCCAAGCCTGAAGAGGAAGAGAATGATGGACAGCCGAACGCCAAGAGACGCAAGATTGAGGAGCCTATTGAAGTCATGTCTGAAGACGAGCAGGATATATCAGAGAATGAGGCCAGTGAGGATGAGAGTATGCAGCAGGATCGCTCAGAGCATGCGGAATCAGACGAGTCTGAGGACGAAGACGATGAAGAAGTTGTATTCGAGGGGGAGGACGACTCCTCCAACAACGATGATCCATACGAGACCCATTTTGCCAATCCGGAAGACAATGAACTCAAGCGAAGACTTCAATCAATCCAGGAAAACCAGTGGAAGGCAGAGAAGCAGTCTATCGGGAAGAAGTTGAATGGTATCCTCCATTCACCCAATTGCTCCGAATTCAGTGCAATTCGGACAGGCATTAGCAGAGTCGTCGACGTCCCTCTCAAGGAGAGAATCGCCAGACATGCTGACAAGCATATCTCTCTCGAAAGCGAACTGGATCAGACCGTTGCGGCTCACATGTTCAACTACACGGACGTGCTTATAGGAAGTCGAACACCGCGAAATGCCGCATCCCTGCGTAACATGGCCGCTTTCCACGCAGTGAGCCATGTGCTCAAGGGCCGTGATCGAGTCATCAAGAATAACGAACGCATGAACCGTGCGGACGAGACAGAAACGTTGGAGCTTCGTGACCAGGGCTTTGTCAGACCCAAGGTGTTGATCATGACAGAAACACGACAGATGGCTGCAAACTATGCCAACGCAATAGTCGATGCCTTCCAGCCAGATCAACAAGAGAATAGGAAAAGATTCGACGACGCTTTCACAGCACCTCTCGATGACCGACAACATATTCCGGAGGACTTCCGAGAGCTCTTTGGTGGCAACGACAGCGACGACTTCATGACCGGGCTGAAGTTCACGCGGAAGACTCTGAAGTTCTACTCCGCCTTCTACGGCAGCGACATTATACTAGCTTCGCCTTTGGGCATTCGCAAGATCATCGAAAACGAGGATAAAAAGAAGAAAGATTATGATTTCCTGACTTCCATCGAAGTAGTCATCACCGATCAAGCAGATGCAATGCAAATGCAGAATTGGGAGAATGTGGAAGTTGTCTTCAGTCACCTCAATCTCGAGCTCAAAGAGTCGCACGGCTGTGACTTCTCGCGTGTCAGAAACTGGTACCTCGATGGTAACGCAAAGTACCTGCGCCAGACCGTAGTCTTCTCCGCCTACATCACGCCGGAACTCAACAGACTATACAACTTCTACATGCAGAACATTGCAGGAAAAATCAAGATCACACCCTCGTACCCTGGCGCCATCATAGCGACCAGTGGTCTTGGTATCAAACAGACCTTCTCACGATTCGACTCTCCTTCCCCACCAGGCGACCCAGATGCGCGATTCAAGTATTTCACAACAGCGATCCTCCCTCGCCTGTTGAAGCTTCCCAAACCAGCAGACGGCGCGCCAGGTATTCTCGTCTTCGTCCCCACATACTTCGACTTTCTCCGTCTGCGAAATTACTTTGCAACCTCGACGCAAACTGAAAACATCTCGTTCGGCACGATCCACGACTACAGCGAGAAATCAGAGCAAAGGCGAGCTCAAGCACATTTTCGGAATGGGAGACATTCGATCTTGCTCTACACCCAACGAGCGCATCACTTTTATCGAATACGTATGAAAGGTGTGAAACGAATCGTCATGTACGGGCTGCCCGACAATGCACTTTTCTATGAAGAAATTGTGCAAGGTTATCTTGGTGCTACTATCACCGAAGGCACCATCGATCCCATCGAAACCAGTGTGAGGAACATGTTCAGCAAATGGGACGGACTGAGATTGGAACGAGTCGTGGGCACTGAAAGAGTAAAAGCAATGCTTGGAGGACAGGGAGATACGTTCGATTTTGTATAATCACAACTCTAGAATCTCTCGAGCGAGCGGCGTCAAGCCCAATCGAACCCAACCCCATTTCCCTCTCCCTCTCTTTCCATCATCTAAACTCCATACTCCCCTCCAACACGCCCATCTCATCCTGTGACAACCCCCCCTTTCGAATCTCAATCTGCCTTTGATCCTTGACCCTACAAACAGGACAAATCCACAACCTCTCAGGTTCCTCCCACACCTCCATTCCCGCACAGTATTTATGCCACGTAGAAATCTGGCAAAAGTCATTATCGCACACTACCACTCCCGTGTGCGGAATCTTGCCCGTGAGAGCATCTGGATCTGCGCCGCGCAGTTGTCTGCCACAGCAGTACATTTGGCTGGGCAGGCCAACGCCGTTCTGGGAGAGAATGGGTTCGCCGTGAGGTTTTAAGGACCAGTGGCGTTGGGTTTTTTGGTTGGGGTGTGGTGACTGTCCTCTGTCGTCCATGAAACAGGTGAGGGGTCTTGGGAAGACTTCTTCTTCTTCTTCTTCTTCTTCTTCTTCTTCTTCCTCTTGTTGTTGTTGTTGTTGTTGTTGTTGTTGTTGTTGTTGTTGTTGGAGAGTGGCAATTTGCGTCATGAGTTTGAATTTCCAGGTCAGAATCGTGTTGGGTATAGCTTCTGGTATACTGTTGGTCGTCCGTGAGCTCCAGGATTCCTCGCCTTCGCCGTTGACGTGATAGGTTACTTCTTTAGTAATTTGTCGAGCAAGACGACATGGGGTGAGTTGCACGATAACAGTCTTTTCGTCATGAGGTGGTTGCTGTTGCTGCGAACTGGTAGTAGGCACAGGCCACCATAGACCTTTAGTAATCTTAATATCCAGACTCTGACCATCCTCGCCACGATGAATAAGTTTAGGTCCCCAGATCATTTTGTTCTCATCCACAAACACTCGAGCCTCGAGGACTTCGCATTGCACGGGTATGCCGGCAGGATCTGAGGTTGGGGAGTAGAGAACGATGCGGAAAGGCTCGCCGGCTGTGTAGCGTATCAAGCGTGTTGTTGTCCTGCATGTTTCTACTTGCTCTTCTGAGGGGTCTGGGAAAGATGGAATGGGTTGGGCACTGGGGTCTTGGAGTTGGAGTGCTATGCCTTTGAGGACGGGCATGATCAATCGATTGATTTATCTGGGACGCAATTGCAGAGATGTGGAGGATGTACATGTATGGAATGTGGCAAACATGATCTTCCTGCAAAGAAGAGACTCGAAGGAACATCTATGTCGACGAAGCAATGGAAAAATAGAGTAGAGCAATCAGACCAGGAGGAATGCATTTCGATCTCGTAGTCGTCTATCATGCCTATATCGATCCCTGCGCCTCTAAAAATCAGCGGTGGCAGAATGCTGTATGTGATATATTGGCTGTAGCTGCTGTTTCTGGTATTTTGACCGGCTTTGAAGCGGTTTTGTCTTGTGTTCGCGCCTTGTGCTGAGATACAAGCGAGTGGCCCGAAGAATCGTCTCCCAGAGCCAGAGGCAAAGCTGCAGCAAGATAACCATTGTTGATTGGAATGGTGTCCGCGAGCCTGATGACGAGGTACTGAACGGAAGCTTGGTCACGAGATGGATATGCGCTGCGTTAGGTAGAGGAAGCTTGTTCTGCCATCCCCTCCTACAGCAACATGATCTGCGCGATGTCGCTGTTCCATGCGACACAAGTCATTTCGATGTCCGCAACATCGTGACCATCCACCCTCCTTGAACTCCCAACGCCTTCGCTAAACCTCAAAATTCTATCTGGAAGTCCTTCATGCGCCGATCAAAATGCTGACCTAGAACAATGTCAACGCCTCAGTAGATTTGGATCGGTCAGAGAATGCTAACTTACGGCCATTGCAGCACAGCATAAGCTCACATATGGACTGAGCCTTTCGCCTATGCGAGCTGCGCGCCAGAAAGTGCCAAGAGGACTGCCATCCGTTAGCATCTGGTTCGAAAGCATTCGCAAGTGACTCCTCCAGGGCCAGATGTGCGGATCCATAGAGGGTGCCTCGACTCACCCGGTCTTGTTGCGATCTAGCCAGGCTGGGAAGACGCCGTGGATATATGTGCAGGTGCAGATGAATAGGAGCACGACCAGGAGGAAGGTCTGGAACCTGAGGATACCGAGCATTGCGGTAGTGGGCTATTCTTGGTGATGGTGTCGGCAGAATATAAGTCTCTTGGAGTCCGGTGATGTTGGAATGTCTTCGACAGTCTGTGAGGCAAGCAGACGTGCCTTTCCACGTGTCGGAAGTGAAGATGGTTGACAACCAAAAGTGGTGGCACAGCCAGATCACATGCTTCCATACCTCCAACCGTAAGGTAGGTACCTTAGCTTGCGACATCCTCACTCACTCTTTCTCGTTCACATTGAAACTCCACACACAACACCGAGAACAACATCGCCTTTCTTCTCAGAAGAGTGTGGAAGAAGAGAGTCGAAGATGACGGAACCACGCCAGCGTCCACGCGCCAAAGGCCAACCCATTTTTAACCAAAATGACCTCAATGAGCTGCTCTACGCGTTTGGCGACAGCGCGCAACCACTCTCCACTACAGTCACCACCCTCGACGAGATTCTCGCCGACTTCATCATTGAAACATGCCATGCAGCCGCTCTCTGCGCATCCTACTCGCGCCGCCAAAAGATCAAAATCGACGACTTCCGCTGGGTACTGCGCAAAAACCCGGCTCTGCTGGGGCGTGTGAATGAACAGCTGTTTCGTGAAAAGTACATCAAGAATCAGCGACGACTTGTGGACTTTGATGCGTACGGAAAGGAAGGCGCTGCGGAGTTGGCGGACATCGCTGCGGCAGGCGGGGCGGATGAGAGTGATCTGAAGGCTGGGAAGAAGGGGAGGGGACGTAAGAAGAAGAGGAAGGCAGAGGATGAAGGTGGCGCAGGTGGAAGCAAGAAGGCAAAGGGGATATGAAGTTGGTGAAGAAGTGGGCGGAGGCGATGCTTGAGAAGAGGAGCTTCGCGCGTGGTTGATGCGATGACAATTCTTTCAGCGATGGCGTTGGTTGGACATATGGATGCATTACGATACCCAGCATGGCACATGGTTTCAAGCGTGTCTTGATCAATTTCCTATTCCCAGAAGTGGACACTGTTTCTGCATGGAAGCTATGCGTTCTGGTTTTTGTCCGAATGGACATGGCAGTTCGTATATACTAATAAGCTATAGCAGAAACTCAGATAATAACCCATGTTAGCAACTATAGACGCTCAACAGAACGAGCGGTCCTGATGTAGCCAGATTTCACAGCAATGCTCTGCAGAACTCTATCAGAAGGCATGCTCTGACATCAAGTTCCGCCAATCCAGTCGACTCGTCGCAGGAAACACCTTATACGAGAATGTCGATGATCTAGAGAGAAGAAGTGTTGGCATGAAAAGCTTCATGTTCTTTTCCACACGCCGCTGCCTGTCAGAGAGACCGTAAAGTCGAGGGCTGGATCGCGAATGAGACAAAAAGGAGAAGCCAAGTGGAGATGGGCCCGAATGTGGTCCTGCAAAGCAATTCGAAGGCGATGATTTGAGCACTGAGGCCCAGATTCGACATTGATCACTTCGAGCAGGAATAGCATTCCAAGGCAAGCAGAAAAGTCGAGAATTCGCATAGGTGGCTTCGTGTGTCACCTAATGAAGACTCAGGGGTCAAGTTTATCAACATGAATTGAAGCACCGAAGTTATTTATGGTCGTGTGAGTGACAGTGACTTCTTCTCTAGCCTGTATATCACAGGCACTCGGCAGGACCTGCCGTCTCCGGTAGCGTCGGGGCGGGACCAAGCGGAGCCTTGTGAAATGTGGGGCACCTTTGCAATTGTTCACGAGACTGGATGGCTTCTTTTTGGCCAAGTTCAATATTCGACAATCTTGATGGATTAGACATACACATCCAACATGACAGCAGTAGATGCAGAGGGCCAGCTGGCCGATTTGAAGCTCGATGGCTCAGAAACGCCAGCAAAGCAGAACGGTACAACAGCTACAAATGGTGCAAGTGGAGACGTAGAAGCGGGCGAATCCGACGACGATGAGGCCGACGAGGCGGAGGGGGCGGGTGGAGAGGGAGCTGGCGAAGGAGCAGCGAAGAAAAAGAAGAAGAGAAAGCCGCGCAAGAAGAAGAAGGCTGGCGCATCTGCCACGCCGGGTGGAGGAGCAAAGGCGCAGACCAAGCCTCCCACACGAAAGGTATCAGAACTGTTCCCAGAGAACTCGTACCCGATTGGCGAAGAGGTCGAATATAAGAACGACAACGCATATCGGACAACAAGCGAGGAGAAGCGCCACCTGGACCGCATGAACTCGGACTTCTTGACAGAGTATCGTCAAGCAGCTGAGGTGCATAGAGAAGTGCGGAAGTATGCCAAATCAATTATCAAACCTGGCATGTCTCTCACTGAGATCGCGGAAACCATTGAGAATGGTACCCGTCACCTGACTGGACACATGGGTCTCGAGGAAGGCGACAACTTGCTTGGAGGTGTGGCCTTCCCAACTGGTCTCTCACTCAATCACTGCGCGGCACATTACACTCCTAATGCAGGCAACAAGATGATTCTGAAAGAAGAGGATGTCATGAAAGTTGACTTTGGAGTGCATGTTAACGGCCGCATTGTCGATTCAGCTTTCACTGTAGCTTTCCAACCGCAGTACGACAACTTACTAGCCGCCGTGAAGGACGCCACCAACACTGGTATACGTTTGGCTGGTATCGATGCGAGAATGTCAGAGATCGGTGAAGGTATTCAAGAAGCTATGGAAGCTTATGAAGTAGAAATCAATGGACAGACATACCCTGTCAAGGCAATCCGGAACCTGAACGGACATACCATCAGTCAATACAGTATCCATGGTGGCTCAGCAGGCAAGTCGGTCCCGATTGTAAAAGGCGGGTCAAACGAGAAGATGGAAGAAGGCGAGACATATGCCATCGAGACCTTCGGCTCGACAGGCAAGGGTTACGTGCGCGACGACATGGAGTGCTCACACTACGCCAAAATCGCAGACGCGCCAAAAGTCGCGCTGCGGGTCGCAAGTGCAAAGACTCTTCTTAAGTCAATCGACAAGAATTTTGGTACTCTACCATTTTGTAGAAGATATTTGGATCGACTCGGCCACGATAAATATCTTCTTGGGCTGAACAACTTGGTACAGAGTGGCATTGTACAGGACTACCCACCTCTTGTCGATATCAAAGGATCTTATACGGCACAATACGAGCACACTATCCTGCTCAGGCCGAACGTGAAGGAGGTTATTTCCAGAGGCGATGATTATTAGGCAGAATCCAGTGGCATGTACTTGTGGTCCACAAAAGTGGCATGATATGGCGTTGATAGCTACCTTACCTACTCGAATGACAGCTTTCTTGGATTGTAGCACCGGCAAACGTTTGTGCCGAGCTAAATTGTTACCGTAGTGCCAACATCCCGAATCATTTTGCCGACCACGATGTTGAAAATACGGGAGCGTTGATGTGACTTCCTCTCGCACAAGGTCGGAACGCGTGTCATTCATCTACTGAAACTTTGTGACACCATCTGCCAATCATGATACAAACGCTAAACGCAGCACCGAGTGGATTTCACCTTCTCTCTGGAATGCACACAGTACATCCACCATTATTTACAACGCTCCATCGCGTTTAGTAGCGGCTACTACTTGGTAATCTGTATCCATAGCCTTGCAATTTCCTGCAGCTCGGCATTTCCATCTTCTTCGCCCTCTCCAGTGCCTCGTGGTCTGTCCAGAAGAAACCCATCGCCTCATTGGCAAGCCGGTTTCTCTGATTTTGTTCCCATTCACACTCCGCAGATAAATGTCCAATATATTTCCCTTCGGCTTTTTTATCCAAATCCTTCCATTTCTTTACAGTGTAGTCCTTCACTTCGTTGGGATTTACCCAGTAGGGAACTTTCAGACTCCCACTCGTATGTAGTTGCGTATGTGGTGGTACCGCAGCATCAAATCGCATTTGCGGACCCGCAGGTGTCCCAGATCCAGAGAAGACACTAGACAGAAGCGGAAGAATAAACAACAACAGCAAAGGCAGCAGTCCCTGGAACGCCTGCATCACGCTCGCCGGTTGTTGCTCCGCCCCGTCATGATTGTGCGGTCGCCTCCTAGGTCGATTTCCTCCAAATTGGTGTACCCGTATCCCAGGCCCTCCACCTCCAACATTAAACATGAAACCCGGACCACCAAATCCTCCACCACCGAACCCTCCTCCTCCTCCGAAAAATTGTCGGAAGAGCTCTTCGGGACTGATTTCTTCTTCGAACATTGGCCCCCGCCGTTGTTGTGCAAATCCCCCACCACTGAATGGACTCGCTCCACTACTCGCAGCACTCCCACCTCCCATCCGCGACTCGGGATCTCCGCCGAAACGATCATATTTCGTCTTCTTTTCCGAATCACTCAGGATTTGAAATGCGCGGCTGACCATTTTGAAGGCTTCGTCAGCGCCGGGATAGCCATTTTTATCAGGATGTGTTAATAATGATAGTTTGCGATATGCTTTTTTTATCTCCGAGTCGGTGGCTGATCTCTCGACGGATAGGATCTCGTAGAAGTCGGTGGGACCGCAGCGTTTGACGCGGATGACGGCGGCTTTTTGCTCGACTGTGTAGGCGCGAGAACTGCTGCCATCGTTGTGGGTGTGGTGATCGGATTTCTTTTCAGACATGGTGGTGCTTTTGGTGGTGTCTATTGCGCTGAATGCGCCGCTGCGGTTGGTGAAGAACGCAGATGGGGTCGGAGTCGGCGTATTTAGGACATCGGTGGTATGGCTGTGAGTGGCTGCTGGGTTATATCGAAAATAGCGCGCCGAGTGGGTGAGGTAAGATGGTTGACTTGTGTCTGTTGTTGACAGATATCGCCCTGGACGATGCGGCTGTTGCAAGGGTTGGCCCTGCCTGTTAGAACTGTCGAATTAGGGTTAAACACGGAGGCCCAAAGTGGCTAGCCGCTACACTTTACCCCCGGCTTTCTTTGGCTTCATCTTTATACTACCACTTCTACCTTTCTACCTACTATATACGACTATATACACTCGCTATACGCTCGCCGCCTACCTTGCTATTATCGCCGTATCTGTCGCTACCTCGCTTTAGTGGAAGAACCAAATGCACGTGACCCTGCAGAATTCATGTTAATCAAGTCGAGAGACTGAAAGCTAGATCAGGAATCGCTGCTCTTGTCTTGCAGTACGACCGCCATTTATGTTGTTGCAAGCAATTAGTCTAAAATTGGAGCTGGCGCTAAATGAAACTGATGTGCAGCAGATAAAACAATAACTAGCGGCACGTCCGATGTTATTGGCAGACTGCTTCGCTGAGCTGGTTGCACTTATCAATGTAGTAGCGAGTCACGCATACTACTCTCGTCCGGATAATCACAAATACCTGGGACATAGCGTATGAGACCTCTTAGAATAGGCGCCTTGTTATTGCTCGCGTACCACTTCTCCAGCCTTGATGAGATCATCTAGAAGCCACTCATCCATGAAAACATCTTGAATGCCTTTCCTATCTTCAGGCCTCCATTGAAGCATCTTTCTTAAAAAGGTTAGAAAGAGTTCCTTCTCCTCCCCCTGTAGTCGTTTTTCTGCAGCCTCGAGACTAATGTTTGGCAAGGGTACAACATCTCTCCATGTACCTAAACTATAATTTAGTAAAGAAGCAAGCAAGTGGCGGAGTTGCATTACCTTCATCGTCCCAAAATTGCTGGCTCTTCGCGGATTGACGTATAAATTCTAGCGGTGGAGGTCCCATAATTGACATCATTTGAGCAATATGGCGATGCTCTGAGTAGCGTCCATTCTCGTCATATGGGGAGAACAGCCGTTTCGGCTCGAACAAGTCCCATAGCTGCCTGGAATTTAGCTGAATTACACTGCGAGTATGCCGGTGCTTCCAAAACGTTCAGGTTCAGGCAACTTCACGTACTGTCATAGCAAAACCCCACACATCGATTGAATAGCTCCATGGCATTCCTAGTATAACCTCGGGCGCTCGATAAACGTCAGGCATCACAAGATCGACGTTTGGAATGTTACCAAAACGTGCCTCGCTCAAATCACAGAGTGATGGGGCGCCTTTTGTCAATGGCATTTGCCGCGAAACATACACGGTACCGGAAGGTGTTTCTTTGCATGGCATCGGGTGTTCCTGTTCGTATTGCTCAAATCTGGCGAATGCAGAAGTATCTAAGACACCAAGCAGAATGTTCTTGGGTTGTATGTCTAGCACGCTCGCAGTTAGCTAGCATCAGAACAAACAAGATCTCTAACTAACCTGTATGATCAACAAGATCTCTAACTAACCTGTATGAACAACATGAGCTTCTTCGTGTAAGAAGTGCATCCCACGTAACACATCGCGAAGGCTCTGACGGATAAGATCCGCTGCGAATACTCGACCAGGGACTAATTCCCGTAGCTCCTCTAAATTCATCCCTAGCGCCTCGTGGACAAGACAAGTATGCCTCCCGTTAGGACCACTAATATCGAAGGAATCCAGCAATTTTCGTACATGGTTGCGCCCTCCGTGCTGCGAGTCTAGGCTGTTGATATGAGTGTAAATCGGGAGTTCGCGGTGCACCTTGGAGCTGTTGATATAAACCTTGAGCGCGACGTACTCTTTCCTTTTCTGTAAGTCATGACAGAGCCAGACAGTTGAGGCTGATCCGAAGCCGAGTTTGCCAATGACTTTGTACCGATTGTGGAACAGGTTGCCAGTCCTTACTGGGTAGTAGTGCTCCGCTTTATAACCACGCACCGTCTCTTCTTCTACCGATTCTTCCGTTACTATGAAGGGTGGTAGAGTGTCGCAATTCGGAGTGTGCACCATTCGGGTCCGCTCAGTTGATAGAGAGACGCGCGGCCGAGTTCGTAGTGCAAGATGCTGTAGTGAAGGCTGCCGTAGTGAAAGGTGCCGTACGAGGAGAAAGGACATCCGCGCGCTGAGGCGGATTCGCCGCTCGCCGCTCGTCGCGCTCTGCTTTGCTGCTTGTAGTGCTGGGTTGATAGTGTCTTCGCGTCGCAGCGTCGCGAGACGTGTTGTGTTTGTGCGAAGCTGATTGAATGTGGCATGACATGGTCACGGGTAAATTAGCGTGATACGGGGCGTCCCAGGAAGTGTAGTGTGTGGTTCCAACACTCTACTAGTCTACCTTTCACATCGCATGACGTCCGCTCCGCTTCGCGTGAGAGTGATTGAAGAACATGGTTGGCGTTTCCATGTGACAAAAACAGTAGCTGCCTCGTCCAGTCTCACATATCGTCAATATCGACCCATCGATTGCCAACCTGCTCGACATCCACAATGCCTATGCCAGGCGAGCTGCCCAAAGATGCCGAAGAAGCCAAACAGGGTCTCTTCGCCTATGCCAAAGCATGGGGTGGTAAGACGTCCTCCATTTCCGCCTTCTTAATGTCCTATGTACTGACTGAATTCTCTTTCAGAAAATCCTCTCCCTGCAACCCTCCTCGCCACTCTAATATCCGCTCAACATATGCGCCCTTTCCAAACTATCCCCATGCTCTTCCCGCCGATCTTAGTCTTCTCTTCCTACCTGAACGTTCAGGGCTTTAAGAAAGATAGTGCAGGTCTCATGAGCGCATGGTCAATGGCATATTTTGTGCTAGCAAGGAGAAGGCAAGTCAAGTTGGGTCAGAAGATCACTGTGAGAGGAGCGACAAGAGGCGTGACAATGGGATTGTGTGCCGTGAATGCTCTTACTGGTGGTTGGGCATATTGGAAGGGGAACCGGGATGAGAAGCCGAAGCCATTGGTTGGAGGGTGAAAGACGCAAGGAGATTCGAGAATGTGTTGTTGAAAGACGGGGGAGCATTCAAAGAGCCAGCCTACAGCCGCAACTGGGTGACAGGGATCGCGATCAGAGCAGCCCTTGCGGAAAGAAGACTTTCAGCGCAGATTTGCAAAAGAGCCTGCGTGTACAGTATGTATATAGTCCTAGCCAGCCTGCAATACCCCGTCACGAGACCGCGTCTTTGATGGCTGGCCATGGTACCGATGAATGCGATCTTGGACAGCAGGAAGAGGATGGTTCGCACAAGAGAAAGAATAGTACTTGTACCGTCAGACACATATCTCGTGGGTGGACGGCTGTCGTGGTCACATGCCCACATATGAAGACGAACAGTTCCTGGGGTACAAGTCCTGGTCCTGTCTCCTGCTTACGTGGAACGCCTTCCTTGCTTCTTGTTCGGCCAATTCGCTGGACATTGGAGGCTGAGGGACTTTTAAGAAATTTGTGCACAGCTCTGTCAATGTCGGTGTAGCAGACGGTACTGTAGTCTTGAGGTTTCATCAGAGGCAGTTGACCTACATGTATTCGCCAGTAATACAGTCAACGTGCATTGGAAGCGTGGAAAAGGCTGCTTCGCACGTCGACCACTCTTTCAGCGGCCCTGACAGTCTGGTCTCGAGCCCTTGTGCCTCTACCTGTCATAGATACCTCCTCTCTGCTTTTGAGATCTTGTCGGTCGGCAATAATGCGGTGTATCGGATGTTTTCTGGCGTGAGATATATGGTCAAAGCTCCTGGGCCTGCCAAGGATGGGCTCGGCAGCTTCCCGCAGCTTCCCCTTCTCTTCCCAACTGACGCTCCCCAAAGCTGCATCTCTCTGTATACACACGCAACTACAGCTTTGCAAGTCAGGAACGACAAAAGTCCGAGCCATCGCAGCCAACGCTTGCCTTCTGCATACCGAAACACCTCCACGCGGCTGCCGCGAGCCGCGGCACGTCTGTCGACCTCCACCGCACGTCGAGACCTCCGCCTGCAATCACCGCCTTCCCACCACGTAACGCACACCATGGCGAGCACCAACTCCTCCAGCAATGTCGTCGGCGTACACTACCGCGTCGGCAAGAAAATTGGGTACGTAGGCGCTGGCTGACGCGCGCAGAGACCTCACTGACACACCCATAGCGAGGGCAGCTTCGGCGTCATCTTCGAGGGCACGAACCTCTTGAACAACACTCAGGTAGCCATCAAGTTTGAACCGCGTAAGAGTGACGCTCCACAGCTACGCGATGAGTATCGCACATACAAGGTCCTCGTCGGATGTCGTAAGTAGACACCGCCTGCCTGCCTTCTTCACCCTGACCGCCTGACGGAACGCTAATCGCGAACAGCGGGTATACCCAATGTGTACTACTTCGGACAGGAGGGTTTACACAACATACTTGTCATCGGTAAGCTTCACTGTCCTCATGGAACAGCGACACGTCTGGTTCCTCGCATGTGTGCATCGTGTGCACGTGACTTCGACTGACCTCACCTCGTTCCAGATCTACTTGGTCCATCCCTCGAGGACCTCTTCGACCACTGCAACCGCCGATTCTCCGTCAAGACAGTGGTCATGGTCGCCAAACAGATGCTTTCCCGCGTGCAGACCATCCACGAGAAGAACCTCATCTACCGCGACATCAAACCTGACAACTTCCTGATTGGCCGTCCCAACACCAAAGCACAGAACGTTATTCACGTTGTCGACTTTGGAATGGCGAAGCAGTACAGAGATCCAAAGACAAAGCAGCACATTCCATACCGTGAGCGCAAGTCACTGTCGGGCACTGCCAGGTACATGTCAATCAATACACATCTTGGCCGCGAACAATCCAGACGTGATGACCTTGAGGCTCTCGGGCACGTCTTCATGTACTTCTTGCGTGGTGGACTCCCATGGCAAGGTCTGAAGGCTGCGACTAATAAGCAAAAGTATGAGAAGATCGGGGAGAAGAAACAAACCACCCCGATCAAGGACTTGTGTGAGGGCTACCCAGAGGAGTTCAACAAGTACCTATCATACGTGCGCAACTTGGGCTTCGAAGACACTCCAGATTACGATTACTTGCGCGACCTCTTTACAAAGGCACTCCAGAACACTGGTGAGGTCGAAGATGGCGAGTACGATTGGATGAAGCTCAACAATGGAAAGGGTTGGGATGTGCCAACCCGCCCATCTGCCGCCGCTGGTCACCGTGAGCAAGGCAATCCTTCCAACGCCGATCTCCACCGCAGCAACATCAACAGAGCATCGAATACTCCACAGATCGACAAAGAGAAGCCGCTTCCAAGCAAGCCAGGCGCAGTACGTCAACCAGCCAACCAGAGAGCTCAACCTGTCAGACGTCCACAGAACAGCCAGGACTTGGGCAAGCGTGGCAGCGGCATGCAAATGGACTCCGCAGACCACCGTAGCACGGCAGCTCAGTTCCAGAACAGCCGCGCAGACTTGACTCGTGCCGGAACCTCAAGCGGTGTCAATGCCACACCACAATCCACGAGTGCGGCAGCTCAGAGGCCAGCCCCGCCACAGCAACCAGAGCCCAAGCAAGGAGCCATCCAGAAGCTGTTTAAAGCATTATGCTGCGGATAGAAAATGCAGTGCATTATTAGCGAAGAAATCTTACCGGCCAGGATCGCATCTCCTTCAGCAGCTTCAGAGGTCGCCGCTTCGACCATCGTACAGCCAACGCAAGCACCAAAAGTTCTACCGGCTGTCGCTCCGGTCATTGCTTCGGCAAGCGAGCCGGATATGGTCACGATCGCTGCACTTGGAAAAGTCTTGGAGAAGGAGAACGCCCCGGCATCTAGGGTAATGCGTCCAGACTATTCGGCGAAGGGCTGGGCCGCTCGAAACGTAATCCCTCCACGTGCTGGCAAAGACAACATACATGAATATCTTTCCGATGAGTGGTGGAGACATGAGACCTCCAAAGCCGAGAAGAAGGTTGATGGTATCTTTTACACCATCCAGGCCCGCCAGATGGAGGAATGGACCAGGCCCGGCGGTGCCCGTCGCAATACCCCAGGAGGGTATCCTATGGAGCGCACACCGAAGCACTACCCACATGTTGACATGATGCGCGCCAGGCAAGAGGACTACGGCCAACCGGGACCAACTCTCTGGCTTCCAGATGTGGTCGGCACCACCTCTCGCCGTGGCCAGATGCGCACGGACAGGTGCTAAAATTCTTATACAACACTACACCCTACCTAATGTCTAATTTTGTTTGACGCGTTCGCAAGGAGTTGGGGCCACGGGATGGCATGCCACGCTTCTGATCTTAGCGTGGCGTTGATGGATACGAGGACCTCGATGTGAACAGAGGAAGCATGGAGTTTGGAGTCATGGGATAAAAGGACCTCAATGGTAATAACGGAGGAAGCGAGGCGTTTTGGGGGGATGGGGGGTGCGACATGGACACGGGAGAATATATGGCAGCGGCACTGCTCTTTGCTTCCGCCACTGTGGCTACGTGGGCAGGGCTGTTTTGCAGGCTGGAGGGTCACCTCTCCGTGCCGTTCTACTTCCTCGCCGTCGCGTGTTTGCGGGCTGGTCGTACTGGAGGTTGAAGAGATGTCGTTAACCGAAGTCGCTCGCTCGCGAAGGGGAGAATGGGATGTGGACAAGAAACGGGTGTGTGACTGCATGCTGCTTTACTTCCTTGCCGTCGCGGAAACGCGGGCAGGTCGGTTTGCAGGCTGGAGACTCACTACTCCGCGCCCTGTTACGCGCCGTCGTGTTGCACGCCTTGGCTGGAATGGAGGTTGGAGACCTGGGACATGTACATGATTGTCAGACTGTTCAATGACGCTCGTTGCTACCAATATGAATTCCCGCTCATTTGTCATGGTGAGTACTCACCTAGCGCAGGCTGTGATAAGATATTACGGATACAGCAAGATGAAGTGAGGATGAACGACGACATTGCAGTAGGCTGACAAAACATCAACAAAACCTACCAACAGATCGTGTACCTTGCAGGACAAGCAAGAGTAAGGTAGGGAAGGCTTTTGGGCAAGGCTGGCGTCAAGCAGCATCGTCGAGGAACGATACATGTATGTATAAGGTATGGTCTGCCTTGCGGCGAGTCAATACGGTATATTTGTCATTCATTGACGAAAATGTTCACAGATATGTACATATTAATAGAACAGCAACAACAGCAACAACAGCAACAACAGCAACAAAAACACCAACACCAACAGCAGCAGCAACAACAATAACAACAACTCAGCAGCGACGGCAACAACAGGAACAACAGCAACAGCAACAGCAGCAGCAACAACAACAACAACAAGGTCAACAATAGCCTTTTTCCCGATAGATGCAAAGGGCCGATACCTATTCAATCATCGAGTGAGTCCGGTGAACGATCAACAGGCACAAGAAAAGCCTAAAATCAACAAATCAACAAAAAACAAACAACAAAAAACTCTGTCGACTTCATTTGTCACACTTGATCCATGTTCATCACCACACAAAAGACCCGCCACACACCGGGAAAAGGTTAAAGGGAAAAGGGAAAAGGAAAAACAAAAAGAAACGAGACAGGGCACGCCATGCATATACCAGGTACCTGTAAGGCCAGTCAGCCAAGCAGGTACCTGTAGCCTGTTCATCCCGTCTTTCTTTACATGGAAGTGTTCTTTGGCTTTTGGGGACAAGGTAGATGCATCTTTCGAACCACGTGGTGAGAAAAAGTCTAAATCGTCCAACTCTCCTTGCTTGCTTGCTGGGTTCGGAAGGAGGCAGTCCGCGGAGCGGATTGCTTTTCTCCCAAATGACATGGAATAGGGGAAGGGGGCAGGGGGAGAGGTGAGATGGAGATGCAGGGATTAATACGGGAATTGTTAGGACGGGTACATGTAGTTTGTGTGATAGTGATTACATTTACAGTGTTTGTAGGTATGTTCTTGTTTATACCTGATGTGATCGGATGTTCTGGTTTCCCCACCGCCCTTCCTCGCCCCTCTTCTCTGGATGCATAGGTAGGGGGGAAGTTGTGAATGTATACAGTACATGTACTTCGTCGTGAAAATGGGAAGAGAGTTTGATCTAGGATTATTTGGTTTCTGGAATTTGTGCGGAAGTCTAGATCGAGGTCTTGCAGTGTTTGTCTCGGACCTCGATTGCGAAGTGAGCGGTAGCCCAATGTTTGCTGCCTATCTAATCCATCAGTACATGTATGTACACACATGTATGCGTTAGTGTGATAGAAGGCCTACCCTTTAGGCAACGTAAGCAAGCTGCTTAGTCAAATCTCTGTCGTGCATGTTCCCTTTGTGGTATATACAATTGGTGTTGGATCAGAATCCCTCCCAAACACCGGAAGACTCCTGCCCGGACTTGCTTCTCTTCCCCAAACAAGTCCGATATTAGGAGGTAGTTCTCGTTGGTTCATTGATATCCGAAGCCTCTGTTGACTGCGTCATGAACAAAGTGCCGTATCTGCAAAGTATATCGCGCATCGGGAAGTGGAAGACCCTTCACTATCCCATGCCTTCCATGTGTTCCGTCTCGACGCGAGGTTGGTCTTATCCTGGATCGGGGGTGGGGGTAAACGGGGGGTATGCATAGTATGTATGATGGATGGGAGCAACCTTTTCGCTCCAGCAAATTGGAAGATGAAGCCTGGAAAAGGTTGTTTCACACGTGCTCTCCCGTACGGTATGGTGCGATGCGTGATGAATGACGATGATGATGTTGCTGATGACCCGGGGAAAAAAAAGGAAATGATGAGACCGTTCATCGTGTGAGTCCCACTTTCATCGACGACGCAGCAGAAGACATGTGTCTCTATGGGTCGACGAAGATGTCGGCTCTGAACCTCTCCTCCTTCCTCACATCAGGCTTACTACAAACCCAGTTCTTCTCATCACCCTTCTCACTCTCCAATCACTATACCCCCTTGTCACGATCTTCGTCAGCTTCGCCAAGACCGATTCCAGGCAACAAACCTACTTCCAGCCTTCCAGGTCCTGCCATTCATCCTTGCACCAGGTCAACCGAGCGTTACAGCCTTGTCGGAAAGCGCTAGGCCAGTCTAATATGAACAAGGTGTAGATAGGCAGTGGAGATCGTGAGATTCCACTGCTTCTCACCGCTATCGTTATTATAGCCATGGCAGCCATGTGCTCTGGCTTCCCCTTAGAAGACCGGGGGGTGGATATCGGCAGAGACAGAAGTGGAAGGATCGATAGGAGTCAATATATATGATTCTTTCGGTAGAGTGGTCGGCAGTTCATGTCTACTCCTAGCTGTCATTCGGTAAAAGTAGTCCTCGCGCGGTAGTTCGGCTGTTAGCAGTCAGCAGTCAGCACACCTTACGTGCAACAACCGGTTATCGCAAGGAGAAGACTCAGCGCGAGGACCTATGAGCTCAGAGCTCCTGACTGTCTTGATATTCCGGGTATCATATTCATCTATCCGTAAAATTCATGTATCGGCGCCATGTCGTAACCATTTCTGTCCAAAGCCTCGTATCCAGTCCTGTACCGTGATCCATTCGGTGTTGACCGTCTCACTACTGCCCAGCACCGAAGACGCCATCCTTACAGAGTACAGCAACCTGCTTGAACAACCTTCGCCAACCCAGAGGATCGCCTTTCAGCTTCAAAAATCGTGTCTCCAAAAATTCCCACTCAACCACTCCTAACTCCGTGCCTCCAACCCTGATTCTCTCTACCACGACTTGCCCTTGTATAGGCAATTTGTTCGCATCCAAAGTCTTGACCCAGATGCTGACAACATCTTCCTTGCCCTCCAATGCCGAAGCTGCAGGTGTTGCAACGGGAATGTTGAGCCTGTGTAGCGCGCTAAGGAGCATAGGCAGCAGCTGGCTGAAGGGCAGAAGTGAGCTAAAGCGCGTGAGCGAGTGGGAGGGAACAATGTGATTGAACTTGCGCGCGACCTGCGTGAGCGTGAGAGGAACAGTAGGCGTAGCTGAGAACTGGCTCATCGATGGGTCCTCGGAAAAGAGAGCGTGGAGGTTGGTGGGCGTGGGCTCGCCTTTCCGTGCTGCAATTGAAGTATGAGCTGCCACTGCAGCTATTCTATCGTCGTTCGTTTGTGGTTGAGAAGCGGGTATACCATTTCCAGCTCCGAGCCGTGGCGGAGTTTCCCAATCGAAAGCTGAAGTGTCTGAAATAGGTGTTTCGGGTTGTGTCGATGCAAGTTGTGCCCAGTTTGGTTTGTGTCTGTCGGTATCCATATTTGCCCCCTGACTGCTAGCCACAGGCGCTCTTCGTCGCTGACTACTCTGCACCCCAGCCGAGAAATCCACCTTCAGTGACTCCATCATCTGCGTGGCTAGTGAGATCGGATCCTTAACCCTCCCCTTCGAGTTCAAATGCGGGTTACTCCTCGTGAACCAAGGGTGTCTTCTCACAGACTCCATCGTAAAGCGGCCCTCGGGTTCCACACTCAACATTCCTCTCACAAGCGATAACGCTTCAGCCGGAACGCCCTCCCACAACTCGTCCGTACTCCGGCCTTTTGTCGTGACATATTCATGATACTCATAACTCTCCTCCATGACCGGGCTATCCCAAGGCGTGTTGCCCACCAGCAGCACAAAGAGCACAATCGCGCAACTCCAAACATCCGCAACGGCAGGATCATAGCCCAGCTTATCATCGTTTCTACTCTTCCTCTTCTGATTCACCTTGCCCACCTCAATGATCTCCGGAGCAATATACGGAGGACTCCCGCAGACCATACCACAGGTCTTCCTCTCCCCGCTCTTCAAGTCCAAAAACTGCGTCGCCAGCCCAAAATCCGCCAACTTCAAATCCCCATCGCCAGAAAGCAGCACGTTCTCGGGTTTGATGTCCCGATGCGCCACACCTTTTCCATGACACCATGCAATCGCCGAGATCAGTTGCGTAAAGTAGAAATGCGCAACATCCTCGCCTACACCGGAATCCGCTTCGATCTTGTCAAACAGGTCGCCTCCATCGGCTAATTCGAGGGCGAGCCAGACCCACGCGGGGTCTTCGCCATGGGCGATGTATTTGATGATGTGTGGATGAGAGGAGACGTGGGCGTGGACGGAAATCTCAATGAGGAGTTGTTTGGGACGGAGACGGCCGGCGCGGAAGGCGTGGTCTTTGTTGATGAATTTGACGGCGATGACGGGGCCGGAAGAGTTTGGTGGAATGGCTTTACGGATCGAGGCATATGCGCCGGAGCCTATGGTTTTCGATACGATGCGGAAGGGGAGGTTCGCGGGTAGGGGCGCTGCCTGAGACTAAGGTACACACGGAGTGGTCAATATGGCATTGTTCGTGTGCGGTGTTGTACCTGATATGTGTATGTAGGTATGTGACTGTTGTGCTTGACGTGTTGTGGCGACTTACTCCTGGAGGGCCACCCATAGCTTCAACAGCTCAATGCCAACAATGCACGATGTCGAGATAAAAGTTGTCAGTCTAGTACAGGATGTAAGGTGCCTTGCATGTGAACTACACTACAACGCAGTTCACGCGCCTCAACGCGACTTTCGGTAAACGGAACCGACTCCGGCATCGGTGTCACGGGCAACCAACCAACCAACCAATCAATCGATCAATCAAAACATTGATTCATTCAACCACAGATAGGCAACGAATGCATGACAAGGACAGCCCTTGGTAGGTGGAGGTAGCAGTGAAGATTGCTATAGCCGTCTCCGCTGCGAGGCGGAGAGAAATGAATCGTTACATCTTTGATAAAAATCAGGTATCGCAATGGTAGGATCGCAGCCTTTCATGATTCACTTCGCTGAACGCCCAGCAGTCCTCGCTAATGGAAACGCCATTTGCAGTGCCCTCTCAGCTCGAGCACAGAGCAAACCCAATGCATCGCTCATGAAAACAAAACTTCTAGTAGCAATGGTATCTCGCTCATGTCCAACAACGCCAGTCGCTTGGTGATGATCATATCCAAAAGCGCAGGAGAACGTGTCAAGACGTAACACATTTCGAACAATAAAGGCAATTGACATCCGTAGTCCAAGCCGATAGCATACTTCGTACCTTCACACGCAGATACCCAACAGTCCAAGCGTGATTTGTCCTAGACCTACTCTACGCGAGTGAGCCTTCAGGGGATGTCTCGAAGCCGTTGTAAGCTTTGTGCATGCCACGCGGCCATTGCATACGAACCCAGCGATTTGGGCACGCGCGAGTCCAGGATTAATGGTGCCGGCTCCTGCAGGCCCTAGCTCGCGTCGGGCATGCACCGGCATCTCATGTGCCGCAGCCCTCATCGTTGAGCTGGACAATTCGTGTCATAGTCTCAGAAGGAAATCCGGATGAGCGTGAGGGTGACAGTGTCGACTTTGGCGGTCTCGGTACCTATCCAGTGACATTGGTTGCTGCAAACTTCGAAATCATATGTTCGAGATTTCGCTCCTTCAACACGGCGGCGTATTTGGGCTCACGGAAAAATTTGGGTACAGAGTCCTGTGTGAGGAGAAACAGTTAGCGTCTCGTGTCTTTAAAGTGAAGCCCAATTTTGCACACTTACGCTGGCCATGAGCTTGAAAACGCTACTCTGCGCCTGATCGAACAAGTCCGCCACTTCATCCAGACTCCTGATCATCTGCTCATCTTCGCCAACGGCACGTGTCATCCGTGCTGCAAGCGCATTTCTTAGGTTGTGATCGATATTCAGCTCACATGGTGAGCCCGGGGCAAGGAATGCGTTGTACAGCGAATACGCAGATGCGAGGGTCTCCCTGATGATGTCCGGCCTTGGCACTGAAGAGCCGCGCTTCGCCCGCTGGTAGTCGTCCAGGAACGCCTTCACCTCGGTGTAGAAGGAGAGATTCTCTTCACAATGTGTCTCGCGCAGATATTCTCTAAACAGTAGTCGCAGGGCAGGATCGCGGATGATAACAGTCATGCGATTGGTGTTCGAGTCGCGAATAGGCACGCTAGCGCCCGCCGGTCGTGCTGCACCAGAAGGCTCACCATGCGAGGAGGTTGTCGGCATAGGCACCCACCCAGCAACCTGCATTCCCCTCAGCGTGACTGCATATTTAATATGTCTCGAGGCTGCAAATCGCTGGGGCCCGCCACCGTTTTGCTGGCCGCGATCCTCGCCCTGTGGCTCGATGAGGCCAGTCTGCAAGAACATATTCGCCAGCGTGAAGCCTTCTCGCTTGTTTACAGTTGTCGTGCAATCCATCAGCCAATCAAACGCAGCCTTCCCAGTGAAAACAAAGTGCGACGTTTGATCTCTGCGCGAGCTCTTTGCTCGCTCCATTCTCACGCCTACCTGTCCTGTGGCATAATCGTTCATTGAGTCGGAGTCTGAAGACGCATTCTCGGCTTTGATGTTGGGTCCAGAGTCGCCAGCAAATCGTCGGAAGAGGACGTTGATGGTGTCACAGTCGTGCATGATCTCGTCAGTCTCGGCATCGCGCTCCAGTATCACCAAATTCATGAAATTGCGAGGGGAATCCAGCAGTTCGTTAACATGCCGTTGGTGGATGCCATTTCTTTGGCAGAAACGTGCAAGAATGTGCATGCCCTTGGGCGTTAGCTGCCAGACCGAGCTCCGAGAGCTAAAGTCCGTCCTGCCATCCACCGATTCTATTATTCTCGCTTCCAAAAATCTTACACAAGTTGCACGTGCCATTTCGCGGGCCATTGAGAACGTCGTGGTCGTGGTGGTCGTTACTATCCTATCAGGCGCTTTGGGATCTGGCATGCGGTTTGACTGAGAGAACTTAAGCGATCCCAGGTTGGTGATTGCTTCTTCGGTCGTGAAAGTATGAGCATATCGTGAAAACCGCACTCGGTGCGACGTGAGCGGCAAGCTGACGATGAGGGTAGCAAAAAGATCTTTGAAATCCTGAACATATTGTAAGCACGACATGATCAGGATTCAGCAGGAGAGAAATGAAGATTTGACATGTGTAGGTTGAAGCATCAGTAATCACTGGTGAAGATGCACTACAAACACTGGCCATGGGCAGGTGAGGAGAAGACAACATACCCGAGTGTATGGCTGGTCATCGCCAGTCATCTTGAGCAGTTTTGACGATGTTTGATGCATCATGCGCGGGCTTCTGCGTAGGATACGCTCGTATGCTTCGGTGTCTTGATATTGCAGTCCGTCCTCTGATCTGTCGCGTTCCATCCACGGTGCAGCGTCCTCACGGCTTGGCCTGTCCCCAACAGACTTCTTATCTGACTTCGAATCGTCCGAGAGCGCAGTCTCCGACGAAGATTTGGACCACGTCGAGGCGTCCAAAGGCTGGCGTCGCGGGCCCACGTCTGCAGGCGAGACGGGCACTCGTAAGAGTGGCTCGCCCTGGGGCTGGGAGTCGTGCACCGGAACAATGCCTCTCAATGTCTGGCGGCCAAACGAAGCCAAGCGAGAGTGGGTTCTGCTCTTGACGCTGGACGGAACTACGCGTTGCTGTCGAGAATCCACCTTGTCGACGAGCGGGATGGTCGGGAGGGTAGAGTGCCTACGAACGTCGAATTGCGTTCGTCGCTGGTGGGGGTGACGGGAGGACGGCGGTGGGGAACAGCAGCACAAAGGGCGGCGGGTGGTGGTATGGCAGTCGTGGTCGGGGCGGGATGAGGATGAGGGTGGTGAGGGTGAGGATGCTACGTCAGGAAGGGCGCATGCGGCGGGTGACTCGTGGCGAACACCTCGTGGGCGTTGGGTGCCGTTCAAAGCGGGCGCGGCCGTGGAATGCGTGAGGTGTGGAATGCGGGATATGCTGTCGGTGCCAGAGGCAGTGCGTGATGAGGTTGGGCCGGCGGATATCATGGCAGTCTTGTACAAGTCACAGGCGCAGAGCGAGTGGGCCGGAGACGCTGGCAAGGGTAGGGGCCTCTAGCTGGAATACAGCACAAGTGCCTGCTGCGATCCCAGTGCTGGCTATTAAACCTGGCGCAGTAGTCATCTTCACCTGGTGCTGATCGTCTGCGCACAGGACACCGGCATGCAAGGATGGAACTCGTGGGCAGCAACCAATACGGCTCCACGCTGCCGCGCGCGCGACGGGGACAAGGGTAGTTCTGCTTGCTTTACGAAACATCTGGGACTAAACGACCGGACCGCTGCTGAGTGCTGACACACCACCTCTGCCTGGGCTGTCTGCTGCTGCCGAGCGCCCAGCCGGACCACGCACTCTACCCTCACTCGGCACGCCCTCCACTGCCCTTGCCCAGCCCAGTCCAGTCCAGAAAGTGGCAGAGACACGTCCTGTGCTCATTCATGGGCCTCCCTCCATCTCACCTGTCGGCACTCACCAGTCGCCATGGCTCTCGTGTCGAGTCGCCGTCTCGGAGTCGTTGTTTGCGGCCACCAACAGCAGCAGCAGCAGCAGCAGCAGCAAGCAGTGCCATCACACACGGCACTGCTTAGACTAGCCGCTGTGCATCACCACCCTTTGTTCTGCTCATCCGTCCAGCCGTTTCACCATGCTCGCAAGCATTATTGTTCACCACGGATTGGCCATGCGCATTAGGCCTAGCATCCCTCGCCGCCGAGCCATGCTCTCTCAAGACATGGACCACTCGTCTTCTTCCACACTTTCCCTTTGTCCCACCTAAGTCACTGCCTCTCCCGTCAATTCACAATTTTGGCGGTACGCTGAGAGAGAGCGCGAGGGTGCATCGTTGGACGGACGCATCGGCACGGCAGGCTGTGTACGCATGGCAACACATTCCTGACGCATGTCGACCATTTGGCACGATGGTGTGCACGCTCTCGGTACCCAACAACACGTGAGCGTGCGAACTCTGCTCTGCTTACGCTCGACATGCACAGAGTCTGCGGCAACATTTCCCAGTCAAAGAGTCTGGCAGGTGCGCTTCCGTCACCATTCGTGTGAGTAAGGCACTCTTCATAGAATATCGCCCAGAGAGTGAAGTCCTACATCGACGATGTTGCTATGGCCTATTCGCAAAATGACTAATTGCGACCATGGCAGACCGCATTCTGACAATGCTCATAGCGTACTCTGAGCCAGCCAGATTTTGCATTGCCTTTTATCCCGTCCGCCCTAATACTATCTCGGCGCTCGAGAACCAAGGAGCTTTTCATTCGATGTAACCTCAGATGTCCTCGGACGTTTCGGGCTAAGCCAAGCGGTCTCGAGCACAAAGAATGGTTGTGGACGGGAGGCATCATCTCCAAAGACAGAGGATTGCGGCAGTCTCGACAAAATCTGAATATCGAATAGCAAATCGAAGCACATTATTTTCACAAGTCGTCGACGATTACATGTATTACCTTACTGAACGCGACTCGATCGACAAATGTCACTCATGGCTGCAAAGCACGACTTTTGGCACGGAATATTTAAGCTTTAGTCTTCGCAGGCTGGCGGCCACGTGGAAGGCACTTTGCGCGATGCTGGGCGCCGTGTGGCGCGCTTAAAGCCGTCAACTCTGCACATTGTGTTTGGTTGATCGGAGTCCAATTTCACACTCAACTACTTCCTGAACCAAATTTTGCTATTCGGTCAGCATCACATTGCAGTCCGTGGATTAGCCATTATAGGAGGCTTGACTTTTGACGGTGTACTATAGATAATTAGGCTAACAAGCCTACTAGCCGAAATATCCGCGCAGATGCATGATCGACACCGCTAGAAGGTAAATCGAAATTCCTGTTAGCCTTCTGGACTTGGGCCACATTTGATATAGATCGTTCTTACTCAACGGATCGAACTGGTAGCGAGTACGGCGGCCCCGCCAGCGAGCGTCGTAATGCCCACAATAGTGATGACTGAACATTCTTGATACCTTTTTCGGCCGTTCAAGTAGCTTCGCACGAGCGGAAACGGAATGTAATTTCTCCTCTTGCCAGTGGTCGTGGCCCAATACAGCCTGTGGTACTCTTTGCGCCCCCGAGTTCGAACGAGAGCGTGTTGGAAGGTTCTCGGGAACTCAGAAAGGCCTACTTCCAGGTTTGGAGGATAGCGAAAGGAAGCGCAAGTCTGCAAGAGGGTTAATAAACAATATCGCGTGCATGCAGGTGCTTGCGCCGAGGTCCACATCCCTGCCACCTCGTGTCTTGCGATTGACCTGCAGAGTGGACTGCGTCAGCCTCCAGGCATGCGTCCGTCACATCAAGCACGTCGATGTCACTAAATAAAACATGTTGTGGTTCGAGTGAACACGACAGCATGATTCGCGTGCGAGCATATCCGCGAGACTGCATGAGGGCGGAGGCACAACTCACAGAGGCCATCGCGCTGGTATCCGCTCGGAGATTTCTTTTCGATGATGCCTCGTGTGGTGCTGGTGGCTGGACTTTTTGTGCTAGTACACACAGATGACCCGTTTGGCGTGAGATGTGCCGTCCACCAGAAATAATGAAACATTTGCGGCAAGCTTTCTGGACAGGATCCGCAAGAGTGAGATATGACAGCCATGATCAAGCCACCGCCCAGTCCATAATGCCTACCCGGCGCTCGGGATATGCGTTGCGAGAAGGTGCTTGATGTTCAAATCTTTGGCAACAGTCCCCAACGCGGCTATTATTGCGATGCATGTCTGGCTACACTACTACAGTACCACTCGTTCCCGTGCACGCGACAGAGATCCATGCGACGTAAGCAAGGTCAGGCAACGCTGGAGCGCTGGTGCCGCTAGTATTACGGTACTACTGTGCAGGTCGACAGGCTGCGGACGCAGGAGGTATATCGCCTGAGGGGCCTGATGAGACCTAAGGTGGCAAGCGAGTGTGGGCAGCGGGCTTGCACCTGCAGCCGCTGAGCGGCGTGAGCGGAGTCCAATCTTTTCGTCATTGGCTTTTTTTGCCACGTGTCTCTGAAGACGCTACGAGAAGCCCAGCAGCGACATTAACCGGACGGGGCTTGCTCAGTGCTCAGTGCTCAGTGCTCAGTGCTCACGAGAGATCAAGCCAAGAAAGGAAGGTCGTTGTCCCCAAAGTGGGTCTTGACTGCAGAGTCAGACTTCTGGCTGCTGACAACCCAGCCAATGCCGTATTGGAGACTGTTTGAAAGGAGCCGTGATGGGATCATATTCCGGTATTCCCATGTCCACCACGTGGTTGCTGATGCACGAAGAGCGATGGATCTAAACGATTGAGCAGGCTTGAAATTTTACAAACGCCTAGGATGCACGGCGATTGTTGTTCGAATCACCTTATTTCATTATTGCCTACCCACACCTCGCCATGTTCCCAAGGCCCTTGCTCGTCGTACAATACCGGACGCGAGTTGCTGCCAACCACGGAACGCGTTCTTGACAGGTGGGAACTGGGCTTTTCGCGATGCCATACACGTCTCACCATCACCTCACCTTTGGCGCATGGAAGCGAGGTCAGCGAGACCTGTGTGCTGAAGCGCAGGAAAAAGAGCTGCCTGGACGCCGGCCCGCACACCGGACCGAGAGGAAAGGTCGGTGCGAATGAATCATCCCGGCAGGCCACGAGGCTGTCTGATTCAGATTGCGACGGCGATTCGAAATGTTTTCACCATGTCTTCGGGCACTGACCACAGACCTCGTAAAACCCCAGCCGTGACATCGACTAGCGCGGACTGCTATAATAAACATCATCAAGCGTCGGTGTCTGATCCCAATTATTAATGAGACGCGTCTCTTTCATCAGTGCCTCCTAGCAGAGTAGTGCAGCTGCAACGGAGCTGCACAGTCGGCTGACGGGATTCAACAGACTATCGAGGATGATGCTACAGTACCTACTATAAACGACGAAGCTTATCATTGCCAGCTCCTGACTACCTACCTGACTGTAGTTGGTGCGCCTGCGAGCTCGCCGAGTCCACAGCATCAAGGCCCAGGCTGATACCACATACCAAGCCTGCAGCATAGAAGAGAAGCAACGAGTCGAAGCGATGGGCTTCCCAGCTCCTTCTGCTCGCGGCCGCCGTGAGGTGGAGTCGATGTGAAGAGGCAAGTCCGTGGTGCCCAATTTTCTTGATCCTCGGACTGATCTTATTACAGTATGCAGTCCTCCGGCGCTAACGCCCACGTCCTCCACCATTTGAAGAGGCAACCAAGCAAGACTTGCAAGACATCAACATTGTTGCTTAGCTGCATCGGCCGTTCTCCCCGATCACATTATCCTGACTGTCATCACATAGGATACGAGTTTTGACCGAATCGAATTATGGAGTTTGCGTCTTTCTTATGCCCGCTGACCCCATCGGCATCGCTTCTCACGGAACATAGGGCTTCCAGTGCAGCATCCTGCGAGACTGCTGTGCTTTTCTGTTCTTGGCAGCCTTTCGCAAATCTCACGCCGATCGATTTTGTCGAATACCGGTCCTAATCGGCAACAGAGAAAAACCAACCGCCACCAGTGCTCTGCTCTGCCTCGACGACATCGTTAGGCTCTGGTAAGTTGCAAAACAGCACGCGCGCATCTCGGAGGTCGATATCATTCGGTACTTGTGGATACCTGTGTCATTCTTTTGCTTCTCTCTGCTAGCGCAGCGATGCTAACAAGCATGTTCACGACGGAATGGCACACCATCTCGCTTGCAGTGTGCCAAGCGTTTTGTACGCGCAGAGTCATTGCTTCCAGAAGGTTGCGAATGACACCACTCCCTTTCGAAGACAGACTGAAGCATGGCGACAAGGGCAACACACTATAGAGTACCTCCCACAACGTGCCTTGATGGCAATTTCTAGAGCACACCGCACAAGTATACTGGCGTCTGCGTCAGTGCGTCAAGAAATTTGCTCAAAAGCTCCTCCGAACTAATTCTGAGGTGCGTCTACTGAATCAGGCAAGCAGGTCTAGGCACATATGTACGACCCCGCATCCACAACTTCTTAGTCTTTGCCTGTCAGCACAACATCGCACCGTTGTTCTCGTCGTATCTTTGCATCCTCGCATCTACCGGCTCGATGCCTGCGGCCCAGAAGCAGTGCCAGTGCGACAGAGGACAACAACAGCGACTAGAGGCCAGAACGCTGAACATGCAGCAACTGCCAATATGAACGTTTGGCTGCAGGCCACCCGACTCTGGTTCATTGCACTAGCTCGGCAGTTGGCAAAGTACATGTAATGACACATACAGTTATATTCCCGAACATGTCTCCTTCCTGCAACGTAAGCTCATTATTATCCCCTACCATCACGGATAGTGCAATGTGTGATTGCACATACAGTCCCTTGTCGTCGACGGAGAGTTGTCTCAGCCACGTGCAGTGGAGCATCCAAGGCTCCAAGCTTTCAATGCTGACGTCAATTACACAATTTGTCGCACGAGGCGCTGAGTCAGCAGACAACGTGGACGGTGGAGATGGTAGGGCAGGGGAATACTCGGAAGAATGCCGATCACTCAAAAACACAAATCTACTTACCCAAGGTACCTCCTACCTGCCGATACATGTACAGAGGTGCTAGCCGAAGTGGCCCTGGTCTGTGCAAGCGCTAGGAGCGGTCCGGCCGGGCTAGCTGATATCGGTAGTACGGGGCTGGCAAGTACGAGGAAAAATCTTCCCACTTACAGGTTTTCTCGTTGAAGAAACAGGTTGATTTGTCTATTCTCGATTAGCCCGTCGCGGACCGCCCCTAGCGTAAGCTTCGACTAGGGCCACTTCGGCTAGCACCTCTGTACATGTAGTTGATCGATTCGACCTGCCTATAATACTAATCTCCTCTATCCTTCTTATTAGCTACTGCATTTATTCTACCTATCCCTACACCTAGGGCCTATATATAGGTCAAGAAGAAAACCTTACTAGATACGAAGCCTTATACGGCATCCTCTACTATCTACAATGTCGATATCTCTTTTGTCGAGTACATACCTGTATGTAGCTTCGCCTTTGCATTTACCTCTAGCTGCAAGCGTACCTCTACTAGCGTCTGGACTAAGACTACTATATCTATATTAGTAGGCGGAATAGTAGTAAGCTCGAGCGCAGGCAATCTTGTTCTTTTTAGACAGGGTCGTATAGATAGCTCGCACTCCGTAGGTATACATATCTGTAGAATACGTTTAGTAGAAGGTAAAGATAAAGGGCGAAGACAAAGACAAAGCTAGGGAAAATTGTGCAAGATCGGATATACGGCCGTATAATCAGAATCAGTCGCTCGCCCGATTAGCAAGGAGCTATATCGGAGTGTCTATAGATCAGTCGCTGTATTTGGTTAATTAGTCGACGACAACGACGAAGAGGCATCGGCACTGTTTTAGGATACAAAGCCGAAGAAATAGGACCCTTCGCAGAGACGGTAGACTGACTTACTTAGCTAATCGCAGTTCCTTCTTTTCTGTTTCCCTTGCCTATACGGGGTTGCTGTCTTCTCTTGTATTACTCTAGGCGATTGCCTCTTCTCTCTCTCTCTCTCTCTCTCTCTTATACACATACATATATATACACATATACAGAGAGGTCAAAACTGAGGCCGACGGAACCGGCTACGCGGATATAGCAAAACGACCTGCCTACCTACCTTCTACCTTAAGTACTATAATATACAGACCTTGTTTGCTCCTACTATCGCTTTGTTCTACGGTGTCTACCGCGGAAGATCCCTACCTCCCCTATCTATAGAGAGAAAGAAAAAGCTCTGTAGTAGTCCCTATCGTACTACAATATACGTATATATACATATACACCAGGCAGCCGTACTAACTAGAACTACCTACTAAGTAAGGTAATACCGGTAGGTTAGTATTATAGGAAGTCAGCGAATAATACACCTCTATCAGCAGCTATAACATAGCATCCCCCTTACAAAGTTGTTGCGTTTTGCTCTTTGTATCGAGGTATAGCGAAGCCCCTAAAGGCTAGAAGAGTACGTCTGTCTATCCTTCAAGTAGTAGCGCTGCTAAGAAACACAGCCAAATCTAGCAAATACGAAATAACAGCCAATAATGTTCAGGTAGGCCAGATCCTAATTGTAGATCCTCCCTACTACAGTTCCGTATTATGTTGTTATTACCGGCGGGGCTATAGGCAGCCCTTAGATTCGTCTAATCGCAGCCCTAGACATAATGCTACGTTACGTACCCCTATATCTCGTTATTAACGTAATACAGTATTACAGCGAAATATGTATCTAAAGTATTTCGTACTAAAGTATATTATACTAAAGCATATCGTACTAAAGTATATCGTACCAAAGTATGTCGTACTAAAGTATATCGTACTAAAGCATATTATATCTGTCTTCTCGTTTGTACCGAATATATAGGAAATTCTCTAAAGTAAGTACTAGAACTTTTCTCCCCTCTCCCCCTCTCCCCCTCTCCCCCTCTCCCCTCTCCTTTCTCCCCTCTCCTCTCTCCCCTCTCCCCTCTCCTCTCTCCCCTCTCCCCTCTCCCCCTCTCCCCCTCTCCCCTCTCCCCTTTCCCTAACTTCTCGCTTCAAACGAATTCTTAGGTATTTGCCGGCTAGTCGTTAATATAGATATTCGGGCGGTTAGTAAGAGCATTTCTCAAAGAACTAGTATTTGTAAGAAGGGTCTAAGAGATAGGCTGCCCTGCGAGTTGCTTAATAGAGAGGCGGAGGGCAGTACGGGATAAACGAGGCATTTTCTAGAACTTATTAGTACTTTTCGTTTTTAACGAAGACTCTCTCTCTCCTACCGCAATCTTATTATTCGTTTGACGCTAGGTCTAGATACCCTAGAGAATTGCCTAAAGTTCTACTATAGCATCGGCCTAGGCACAACTATATAGTATAAGATTAATAGGATTAAGGCTAAGAGGAATATTTCTATCGCTAGGCATAGCGTCGTTAGATGCCTAGCAGCTATTATACTTAGGTATACTACGGTTTTGGCGCTAGTAATAATCCCTAAATTTATTAGCAATCTTCTCGTTCTTAACGAAAAGGAGGATATTAACTTACCTTACCTAACCTTCGGTACTAACGTTATATCTAGGACCTAGCCGAGATACCGGTCCCTAGCGATTAGTATATACTATATAGCGGTTTCTCTCGTTAGGAGCGAGAGTTAACTACTATATATTCAGGCGGTTGATCTAGCGGCGTTCCTAAAGAGGGCGGGATAGGCTAGTACCGGCAAAGCTAGGCTAAGTAATAGCAAGGGAAGCTATTGTTAAAAGAAAGAAGATTGTTTTTACGTTTTAAACGAGAAGCTAGGTATATAGATATAGGAGAAAGGAAGAGGAAGAAAGTAGGGGAGAGATTACCTTATATAGGTAGGGAATCAATAAAGAAAAGTAAGGAATAATAAAAGTAAGGAACAATAAAAGTAAGGAACAACGAAAGTAAGGAATAAGAGTAATATAGGGTACTGTAGGTAAGAACTTTATAAAAGTAAGGCTTTCTATATATTACGTTTATAACGAGAAGTAACCTATCGGTTAGTCTCTATACTACTAGGGTTAGTAAGGTGTCTGAAATAAGGTCCTTACAGAATATGTATATCGACGGCCTAGCTAAGATATCCGTTGCTCCTATTAGGGTTAGGGTTAGGGTTAGGGTTAGGGAGGTCTTTGAGTATTCGTTCTCTCCGAGTAATTATAGGGAGGGTTGCTTTAACTATTCGGTTAATACGAAGACTCGGGTTAGCTATAGTAGTATAGCTATAGAGCAATTCCTAGATTATTCGGATATACCGAATACTAAGGAGGAGGATATTAACTACTTAGTAGAGGTAGAAATTGTTAACTACTCGGTAGAGGCGGGTATTGTTAGCTCGGTAGAGGTAGGAATTGTTAGCTCGGTAGAGGCGGGTATTATTAGCTCGGTAGAGGCGGGTATTATTAGCTCGGTAGAGGCGGGTATTATTAGCTCGGTAGAGGCGGGTATTATTAGCTCGGTAGAGGCGGATATTATTAGCTCGGTAGAGGCGGATATTATTGGCTCGGTAGAGGCGGGTATTGTTAGCTCGGTAGAGGCGGATATTATTAAGTACTCGGTAGAGGCGGGAATTATTAAGTACTCGGTAGGGACGAGAGTTAAGTAGACTAGGGTTAGGGCTAGGGTTATAAAGAAGAGAATGTCGTCTATATAAGATACTATAGAATCGGAGGATTCGTAGGAGTAGTTATCGTTTAAAACGAATATCCCTTATTCTCCTTAGTAGT